GGCTCGGCTGAGCACTCTTAGGGCTTATCTCCGAAGCAGGACCTAACCCAAAAGATCCTACGGAGTTAGGGTGGCTCGGCTGAGCGCTCTTAGGGCCTATCACCAAGGCAGGACTTAAACCAAAAGATCCTACCGGGTTGGAGTAGCTCGGCTGAGCGTTCTTAGGGCTTATCACCCCCTCCCTCGGCTTGCACAAGGACACCGGATCGCCGGTGTTTGGATGCACTGACTCCTCTGCAGTCTGCGCAGCTTTGACCCATGACGGAGTCACCTTTGAGAGATCCCCTATCAATGTCACTGGGATAGGTGACCGGATTGGCAAGGGAGGAAACGAGGTCTTGCTGGTCACACATTGCCCTGCGGCAACCAGCACAGGCTTTGACCCCTCTTTTTCCACAACACTTTGGATGCTTATGGCATTTTCTGCCTTATGCACATCAACATCAAACCTGACCGATCGCTTAAGCTCCCGAACACCGGAAGAGTCGCGACTCACTTCCTTACATGGTTGCGGGGCTTGTTGCGGTAACGATCGTTCAAAACCACCCTTATCATCTCTCTTTGCTTCACTTGAGATCTGACATTTGGTGGGGATCACATTTGACTCAGGCACTGATTGACCTGGGTTCGAGTTAGGGCCTAAACCATAGGACCCCGACGAGTTAATGCGGTTCTGCTTAACGCTTCCAGGGCTTGCCTCAGACCCAATCTCGAAGTCAAAGTTCTCTTCCTGAAGTGATTGCAGAACCCTTTTCAGCCCGTCTTCTAAACCTCCAGTTGAAGTCACAGGCAAGGTGCGTGGAGGAGTGCACTCCCTCACGGACCTTTCGTCGCCTATTTCAACGGGAACCAACCTTGCAACTTTTGGCAGATTGTTGGTGGCCTTATCATGACTAGCGGTCCACTCCTGCCTTGCACACGCATCAGAGCTTAGACCGCTCTGAACACCACACACAAAGTCGAAGGCATGCTCTGCAGGATTCTTACCCTCTCTCGGGCCCTGAGGAGGATAATTTTCTGCTTCGCCGGACAGCCCTCTACACACATCAGTTAAGCTCTCACCACAATGGGACTCATGAAGTTCCCCGGGACTATGAGGCTTGCAATTGCGACCAGTACCCTGCTCAGATTCTGAAAGAGCAAGGGTCGAGCACTCACCACGACTGGACTCACGAAGTTCCGCGTGAATGTGAGGCTCACAACCGCCACTGACGTTTGCATCAGGCTCAGTGGATACAAGGGTTGAGCTCTCGCCACGAAAGGACTCACGCGGTTCCCCGGGAATATGAGGCTCACAAATGCCATCAATACGCGTTTCGGGCTTCGTGGAGGCATGGATCAAGTCTACGCGGCCGCTGTAGCCTGACCATTCTGCTGCCAGTAGCACTTAAAGCATCTTGATGACGCAATGCAACATTGGTGTCGTTCGTTTCTTGACACCCACTGAATTCCACAGTGACGTCTCTGCCGAAGGACAGTGACTTTGATTGACCAGAGGTCTCACAATGGCTTTCTTGAAGGGACGGTCCTGGGTGGCTATCCCTCACACTGTCTGAACCCTGTGACCCTAACCCTAACTGTGGTGGTTTGCAAGCTGATTGCACCGGCCATTCGGGCGTATCTTCTCCTGAATCGACTGTAGGGCCTTGAGACATTCCTTGTGCTGAGGAAGTCGGAGTGTTCCTATCGTCCCCAGGTACAACCAGAACAAACCCACCGTTGGCTTGTTGGTTTGGCAAGGCTAGGGTCACCCGCTTAGGGTTCTGAGGACTAACCCATATATTATCGGCAGGGCCAGGAAAGTAGGCATGTGACATCCCACAGCTCGCGTGCTCGGGCAAACCAGGCCGCGGTGCCTCAGGGACCTCCTCGGGGACGCCGGAACCTAGGGAACCCTTATAATCACCTAAGGTGGCCTTGAAATTGGCTGCCCTACCTCCTACATCGGTATCTACACAAACATCGCTCTTCCGCGTGGACGGTATTCGTCCGAGGCTACTTAAACCTACAAACTCCTCCTGCCGTGACGTCTGTACACCTTCGAGCTCCTCGATCAGAGGCATGAGTGGATCAGGCCGACAAGTCCCAACCCCCTCATGCGTCTGATCCCTTAAGGATCCATCAGTCAGAGGTCTTGGTACCTGCTCTTCTCGAACCCAGCTCTCCACGAAACCGGAGTCCACATCCGTTCCTCCAGCAGCGCTCTTGAGCCCATGGGTCTCCCGGGTGCCAGTCATCTCCTCGGCAGGATCGCAGCCATACATTGAATACTGCAATACCCTGCCCTGAGTCGCGAGGCCAGATGTACAGTCATACCCCGTTGACGAGAACTCCAGAGCCCTTTGCGCCACTCCACCACTTACTCCAGGTTGTCTATCCTTTACCATGCCATTGCTTCCACACTGATCAGTAAGATTTTCTTGACTGTCTGAATCTACACACGTGGGCATATTCCGCCTCTGCATCCTCCCAGCTTCCAGCAAAACACCACGTTCTTCCAACACATCTACGGTGAAGGGTAATGGCATTTCGCCACTGGGGCTGATGCTCCATTGCACAAGTTCAGAAGAGACATCTTTGCTGTTATCGCTGGAAGACCATCCTGGCTCAGCCTCGAAATCAACAGAAAAACACATGCAGCAACTGCCGCAACCAGCTCTCAGCCCATCCATGGCACCATGGTGGGTACCTCTTCCCTGGTCCGCAGTTTCCACGTCAGTTGTCGGGCTTGCTAGCCGTTCCTCCAGGATATTGCTCCTGCGGCCATACGCAGCTGAGCGTAATTTGGGCTCATGACCTTTGGAAGCCATGGGCTCTCACGGCGCTCCTTTTCTCAGGACCATGCCTCGTACACGAGGGTTCAGCTACACACAACAGCGAAAGCAACAAGATGGCTAACGCTTCTGACTATACACTAGGATTTCGTTTTGAAAAAAGGCTATACAAGTTCTACTCAACCTATCTTTACTTGGCCAACCTACGGGTGCACCTGGGGTCTAAACCCTATAGCTGAGGAGGCACTTAGGCCAAGGAGCTGCGGTGCTTTCTTCCATACATGCTGCATGTGCCGATCCACACCCTAAACCCTAAACCCTAAACCCTAAACCCTAAACCCTAAACCCTAAACCCTAAACCCTAAACCCTAAACCCTAAACCCTCCCTAGAAGCTGAGAGAGGGCTTTCTGAGAAAACGGGTGTCCCTGGGTCAGGCATCTTTGAACTTTGGGCATCAAGTGAACCCCAAAGAGGGCTTATGGTTTTAGATGCCTTAATAGGAATTGTAGTAGTCTAGGGTATATGGCCCCAATTTTAGGGTTCATGTGGTCCCCAGGAAACAACACGGCATGACACCTTTGACCAGCAGGAAAGAGCGTCTGCATAAAAGCTTTTTAAAGTAGGTCTATCTGGTCTGGCCTAAACTGAACCCTAGACCCTATACTCTAAACTCTAAACCTATAGCAGCCTTGTGTTTCCGATGCGAGGTGCCGATAGACGCGTTGTGGCTGCTCCCCGGTTTACATACTGGAGTTTGAGGGTTTGAGGTTTTATAAGTAAGGTTCCCACGTTCTCTTCGGCTGTCTCCTCGATGTTGCACTACTGAGCCCTAGGCCCCAAACCCTAAACCCTAAACCCTTAACTAACTCTAAACCCTAAACCCTGAAACCCCAAGCCTTTGGAGGGGTCCGAGGTGTTCTGACAAGAGGTCAAGGGTTCGAGGTTCAGAAGGGATTGGGAGCTTAGGGTTTAGGGTTTAAGGATTTGGGGCGCCCGGACGTAACCACGACATACTGACCTCCACGATACTGTGTTGGCAATGAAGTTGAAAGTTAAGTCGCGGTGGGTTTTTTGCCGTTGCGAAGTCAACAGCAAGTAACTTCATACCATTGTTCTGATTTCTGGTCCTATCTGCAGGGAGAACTCCCGTCTGCATGGATGGAGATGCTATCGGTTACTATCATGAACCGACGGAAGGCGGTGCTCTTTCAAAAGTGCGTACCTTCCTGCCATGGCTTTTTGGAAACTTGGCTTCTGGAAAAGCAGAAGAGCATCACCCTCCACGGTACGGAAGAAACCCTGAGCCTTGAAACCTGAAAGCCGCGCACCCGCACACACAGCCCAGACCTCCAAAGCCCCAAACTCTTCCCCAACTTCGGATCTCCCCAAATGCTTCCTCAACATACTCCACAAACCCTAAACCTTAAAACCCTACTTACGCCCCTACCGTAAGAACCCCAAACCTACCTTCTTGTAGGTTACCTAGGAATCCTATAAAGGGTTTAATGGTAATAACATACCAAAAAGTAGGGTTACGACCAGGCCGCAGCTTTGCGCTTGGCCGATGCAGGTGGCAGGTCCGAGACCACCCTTGTTTTGGCTCGGGGGGGGGGGGTGGGGGGGGGGGGGTGGGTGGGGGGGTGGTGGGGGTGGGGGGGGGTGGGGGGGGGGGGGTGGGGGGTGGGGGGGGGGGGGTGGGGGGGGGGGGGTTGCGCGTTACTGGTGCAATCTGACTTGTTTCAAAAATAGAAGCTTATAGTCGCAATGACCATTCGCGTTTGTTTAAGGCCCTAAACCCTAAACCCGAAACCCTACACCCTAAACCCTAAACCCTAAACCTGAAACCCTACACGTCTCTCACCGAGTTTAACGTCGGTTTTGCAGGATCTTGGGCTTTGCAAGGTTTTTGAAGCCTATGGCGTTGAGGGCCTAAGGGTTTGTAGGCTGCATCTACATCCATATATATATATATACACATATATAGATATAGATGTATATATACGCATTAGTACGATGGGCACTATCAATATTCCGCGCTTGTTTTGCGTGGCAAGACACATTTTTTGCAATGTTGGGGGGTGCCAGCAAAGGCAAATTCTAAGTCCTTGCAGTCTGCATCCCTTGCGTGGTTCGAGACTTAGGGTTTAGAGTACGAGGTGCCGGAAATCCCTACTTCTCTATCGTGAGCTACCTAGTCGGTCAATAGGTTCCGATCAGGTGGAACAATGCCGAAGTCCTCTGCACTTCTTACACCCAAATCCGAGCCTCAGCCTTCCTCGGCCGTAAAACTAAGGTTGGAACCATGGGCCCTTAGTATGGTCCCTAAACCCTAAACCCTAAACCCTAAACCCTAAACCCTAAACCCTAAACCCTAAACCCTAAACCCTAAACCCTAAACCCTAAACCCTAAACCCTAAACCCTAAACCCTAAACCCTAAACCCTAAACCCTAAACCGAAAGCAGGGGAACCCAGGGCGTGGGCCTTGAACCCGTTCCGCAGGCCGCAGGACTTCCTGGACCTGTGGGGTGCCCTGAAGGCCACACCTTGTGTTTCACGCCCGGGTTTAGGGTTTAGGGTTTAGGGTTTAGGGTTTAGGGTTTAGAGTTTAGGGTTTCACGTTTAGGGGGTTTAGGGGGTTTAGGGGGTTTAGGGGGTTTACGGGGTTTACGGGGTGTACGGGGTTTAGGGGGTTTAGGGGGTTTAGGACGGGGTTTCTGAGTTCTCAGGCCTAAACCCTCAATCTTAACCCAACACGAAGCTCCAAGCCATAAACTCTAAACCCCAGCCCTGAACCCTACACCCTAGCTGGTCGAGGGTCTCGAGGGCGTTGAATGAGGCTTCTGGCTTCCAGGGTATGGTTGATCTCAATTCTGAGCCCTGTCAACAGGGAGTAGAGCCCTTTTTTATGGCTAGGAATGAGGGCTTGGGATTGAGGGTGTAGGGTTTAGGGTTTACGGTTTAGGGCTTAGGGTCCACAACTTAGGTCTGCCCTGTGGGGTGCGGCCGTTGCCCGCAAGCGCAAGCCCCCAAACCCGAAGCCCCTAACTCGGCTCCCCAAAGGTTGACGCCCAAGCACCAGACTCGAAACCCTAAACCTTAAAACTTTTGGACAGTTTCAGCTAGCTACCTTCAGAACGAGGAGTCATTTTTCCCAAGCGTCCATGTGCCCATAGAGTACATACTCTTGGGCCTTAAATCTACTACTTAGTAGCTGAGTACGTGATGTGCCAGCCTTTGGGGTAGACAGAATCCTACCATAGTTGAAAGGTTAATCTTTTTTGGCCCAGGGTATTCCGCAACTCGGACTACCCTCTGCTCCTGCTTGTTTTTGTTCTGGGCCCCCTTGTAAAGTAACCAAGAAAAGGGTACCCGTATTTTGATAAAATGGATACTGGCTTCCAAGATTGAGGCCCAAGTGTACACTATGTGGCCACACATGGACCCCCTGAGGGATTTGAGACTTGTGGAAGCTCAAAATGGCTGAGAAGAGGCTTCTACAATGAGCAGCTCGACTTTGACTGTCCTCTTGAAACACCAACAACCACAAACTCCCTAGCAGCCCACACCTGAACTCCAAACTCGGGGGTTTAGGGTTTAGGGTTTAGGGCTTGGGGTTTAGGGTTGTTTAGGGTAACCCACTTAACCCCCCCCCTCCCCCGCACCTCAACCCCACCGAACTCCGAAGGCGGCAAAGGCCCTCAGCGAGGCGGCAGGGCTCTTGGATGCCGGAGTGCCGCCGGAGGCTACTGCTTTGCAGGGTTTAGGGTTTAGGGTTTAGGGTTTAGGGTTTAGGGTTTAGGGTTTAGGGTTTAGGGTTTAGGGTTTAGGGTTTTAGCGTTGAAGGAGGTTTGGGTTTAACAGGCACATCGGTATTTGGTGTTTTTGTTTTTTGTATATCTTCTTTCTTGTTATCTTAATTTTAACAAGGGTCCTTAAGCAAGCAGTAGCTAGGGTTTGGGGTGATCGTACATAAAGCAGTGGTTTAGGGCGTAGGCTTTTTAACTTAGGGTTCTGCAGTGTGAGGGAGTGGAAGGAAGCTTGCTTAGGGTTTAGGGTTCCGAGAGGCTCTGGCAATGAGAGTCTTTGCAAGGTAAGGTCTAAAGGTCTGAATTTGAATTCCACACCCTCAACCCCGAACCCCAAGCCCTACGCCCTAAACCCCGAAGCCTTCAACCCTCAACTACAAACTACCCTATCTAAACCCTTAGCGTTTAGATGTCATTGAGGGCTTCGGAACCCCAAACTACAAAAAGACAAGGGCCGCCAGCCCGCTGGGCATATGAAGGCCCAGAAGAGGCCTCTCCAAGATGTTCACCACGCCCTGAGAGAGCCCTAAGACTCCAAAGCCTGTTTAGGGCGGAATGCTGCACATCTCAACATATCTCAACGCCTTCGTAGCACAGTCCTTAGCACTTCAGTGGCCTCAACCACTCTGGGGTCCAGGGTTGAAGTTCCGGGCTCCTTCGTCCAAGGAGAGGGCGGCCAGAGCTGCTGCAGCTGACGCGTTCCTGGCAGCGCTCAGAGCCGCTGCCGCGTCCGATGCTGCAAGGGCATTGTCCATGGAGCTGCCCAGACATCTGGGCCAACACCAAGACCATGAAGCTCTCGCCCACCAACCTGCAGTTGTGTCAGGGTATCCCTGAGGCAGGTCGGGGTGGCCAAGTGCTATCCCGCACACCCCCGGTACGGAGATGGTGTTGCTGCTACTGCTGCTGGCATCGCTTTAAACCCTATGGACCCTATAAACCCTACAAACCCTAAACCCTAGACCCTATAGACCCTATAAACCCTACAAACCCTAAACCCAAATAGTAGCTCCACGCCGCTCCCCATGGCCTGACCCTTATAAGAGGAACTTGTGGGCCTTTCAGAAGAGTTAGGAGGGGGGGGGTCTCTGGGTCAACCCTAAACTCTATAAAGCCCTATAAACCTTATAAGCCCTATACCTGTAAGCCCTATAAACTAGGTAAGCCCCACAAACCCTATGAACCCTATACCCCCTATCAACCCCAAAGAACCTATAAGCCCTATCAACTCTAAAAGAGCCACAAACCCTTTAAAGACCCTATAAACCCTGTACAAACCCTATAAACCCTCCTAATTAACCCCTGAGTAAACCCCAACTAAACCCAATTAAACCCTCTCCACCAGGCCCTTGACCCTAGTCCCTATAAGCCCTAAATAAACCCTAACGCCTAAACCCTATACACCTTATAAGCCCTATAACCCGATACACCAGGCCCTTGACCCCAAACCCCATAAACCGTAAACCCTGAAGCCTGAACCCTATAACCCCTAAGTAAACCCCAAGTAAACCCTAGAAACCCACCCTAAACCCTAAACCCTAAACCCCAGACCCCAGACGCCAGGCCCTTGACCGGGTTCTTGGATCCTCCAGCCTGTGCACCGCCTTGGTGCGGCGCCGGCTGGCCAGGAGCGGGGGCTGAGCCTCGGCAACGCACTGCAGAGATTTTTTGTTTGGGGTTTTGGGCTTAGGGTTTAGGGTTTAGGGTTGAGGGCTTAGGGTTCAGGGTTTAGCGTTTCGAGTAATATGTTCCTTATTTGGGTTTACAAGGGAACACATCTTCCAATATTTGTGCTCTCTCTTAAAGGCCGACCCAGTAGGGACTCCATTTTGAGGGTTTGGGCTTCGCTTTCTCTGAAGCCCCCCTTCGGCTCATGAGAACGAAGGGGCCTTCGAAGGCTTCAAAGGCTTCGAAGGAAGGACGAGGCCCCTTCGTCCTCACCTTCGAAGCCTTCGAAGCCCCCTCCCCCTTCGTCCTCGCCTTCGAAGTCTTCGAAGCCCCCTTCGTCCTCACCTTCGAAGCTCCCTTCGTCCTTACCCTTCGAAGCCTTCCAACGGAGCAGTGAGTAGAAGCCTTGAGGCCCTTACACCAACAGGGAGGTCCCTTGGAAACCTCACGCAGCGATTGGGAAGCATGGAGCTTCTCCAGTTTCCAAAGCTCTGCTGAAAGCTCTGCTGGGCCAGGACTCACAGCACAAAGACTGGGTGGTGGCACAACCTCCGACTTTTGCCCTCATGACAGACAATGACAAACAGCACCTGGAACCTTGCAGTCTGGAGAATGGGGACACTTTCGATCTTCAATCTGATCAACCATTGAGGGCGGAACACACTAAAGATGAGTTCCGCAGGAGGGGGGAACACATTAAATGTCACTAAAGGAGCTTTGTTTGCTGCGCTTTTTCAAGTTGTTCATGGGGTGGGGCTTGTACACCGCAAAGAGGGCCGAACAATAACTTGAGCGTGGAGTGTTGGGAGTTCGCTTGCTTGGGAGCCCTAATCCCTAAGCCCTAAGCCCTAAACCCTAGACCCTATACCCTAAACCCTAAACCCTAAACCCTAAAAAAATGGGTATCACATCGACAGTTTCTTGTTAAGAGTCCGGCCAACGAAGTCGAAGTGCCGTCGTATCAGGTGGAGTTTAGTTTTTTGTTCATCGGGCGAACCCCAAACACCCCGTAAGGCTTTTCATGTCCAAACCTGATTCGAAGGTTTCGGCCCTACTTGAAGGGCGTTAGCCATAAACCCTAAAGCCCTAAACCCTAAATCCTGAACCTTATAACCCCTCTTTTTGGTTGGGGGTGTAGGGTCTTGCGGGCCTGGGGCTTCTAGGGTTTAGCAGCTTTGGACGTGCTGGTCGCCAGGGGAAGTGTAGAGTTTCGGGTTTCGGAATGAGGTACTTTTTAGAATACCCTATAAAGTATGTATAGGGGGGGGGGCTATAGGGTACCTAATTTTTTTTACATTGCCTACTAGGGACCAGTGGGTTTGAGTTTGAGGTGTCTTTTAGGGACCCCAAAATTAATCCCTGTAAGCCCTAAACCCTAACCCTAAACCCTAAACCCTAAGCCCCTACGTATCCTAAACCGCAGCCAAGGTGACTCGCAGCTGATGGCGACGCTGGCAGTGAAAGCCAGCGGCAGAGACTCCAAGCACCTTCCGGCCGCTTGCCGAGAACGGTTTTGGGTTTAGGGTTCAGGGGTTAGGGTTTAGGGTTTAGGGGTTAGGGGTTAGGGGTTAGGGTTAAGGGTTTAGGATTTAGGGTTTAGGGTTTAGGGCTCTTGCCGGAGAGAGCCCAAGATTCCCTTGATAAGGGACAGATCTGGCCTTAGCTCAGAATGGAGAAATCCCTTAGCAGTTTAGGGTAGCGAAGTCCTGAGGAACATGGGATCGTTTAGATCAACCCCGAGGCAAATAGGTTTATGGAAGGAGTGTTCGAAAACAATAGGGTTTAGGCTAGGTAACCTGCATTTGTGTGCGGGATCCCTGTTAAGGAGGGCCAAGACGCAAAACGAAGGAGGGGGGGCGGGGGGGTGGGAAGTACCATGGGGCGTCGGAATGGCTACTAGTAATCCCCTGTGGTCCCTTTATAACGATACTATAATAACCCCCCCCAAAAACCTTACTCTCGTTGACAAGGTCCCTATATTAGTTCTCCACTAAGGACGACCACCCAGCCCTGCTGATCTGCCGGGCACGGGAAGCACTCTCGCAGAAGGATGCTGGCCGGAAGCCGCCTTGCAGTGACTGCTTTGGGGCTTTGGTCTTCAATCTAGGCGAACAATTGCTAATAGTATTTCCTTATGGTCCCTTTATAGATGTACTATAATAACCCCAAAACCCTATTTCTAATTATTATTAGAGTGTTAGCCTCACTGTGGGCCGGCCTTGTCAGACACGCGAGGGGTTATGGCTCTTGCGCCCATGGACATGTGTCGATTTTGGTCGTCTGCTTGGTTTCGCATGGTTATGTAGAAAGTAGACATGTCGTCTCTGATTCCTGCAAGACTCTCGCACCCCCTCAACTCTAAACCCAAAGCCGATCTTCTTCTTACGGGTTCTTAGCGGGGACTGAGGGAACGAGGTACCCTGTATGTTTTTCAGCCGCGGCACTCTCAGCCCCACGGGTCTTTCGAGAACAATGTTGCGTGCAACAACGAGCAAAGCTATAGTGGGGAATGAGGGAACAAGGTACCCTCCATTCTCTTTCAAAGGGTAGAGGTAGGGGGATACCAGGTACCTCATTCCCGAATAGGATCAGTGGGTTTTGGTACGCCCAAAACCCTATAGCCTATAACCCCCGCACGACCCGGAAGGAGTGTGCGGAGTTGGTCAGACACCTCTTGTTCCTACGAGGCCCGGTGAGGGCTGACCTCCTTAGGGTTTTGCTTCTGACTTTCTGGCATACGTGCCCAACAAATCTCTGATCGTTGGACTAAGATGCCCAAGTCCGAACCCCACCTGCTAACCCCCAGGCCCTAAACCCTGAACCCTTTCCACCCTTGACCATTCATAAACACCCGACTTTGCGACTCCCTGTACCTACAGTTTCGTGGTAGCTATCCTTCAGTACTAGGTAGAACCCATAAAAAAAGCTGTAGGTAAAGAGGGGTAGCTCTCCTTCATTACTAGGTATAACCCAGATTAAAAGCTGTAGGTAAAGAGGGGTAACTATCCTTCATTACTAGGTAGAACCCATAAAAGCTGTAGGTAAAGCGGGTCCCAGGTAGAGGTTTCCATTCCGATACGCCCTCCCCCGGCCACAGGATCCCTGCCCATCGAGGGCTCCCCACATGGCGAGGGACACGGCCAGCATCTTAGGCCAGGTCTTCGCCCTAGGGTTTAGGGTTTAGGGTTTAAAAGTTTAAAGAGGGTTTAAAGGGTTTACAGGGTTTATAGGGTTCATAGGGTTTATAGGGTTTATAGGGTTTATAGGGTTTATAGGGTTTATAGGGTCTAGGGTTTATAGGGTTCAGGGCTACGTTCTCTTGTCTTTGGACTCATTCTGGTGCGCTTGATCTCTTTTGTGTGTCAGGGGGGGCCTTGGGGTCTGCCCCCAAAGCCCTCAGCCCCTAGAACTCTGCACCCTAAGACCCCTTAAGCCAGCTTAAGCCCACTTGAGCCCCCGAAACCCCAAAACGACCTCATTCCCTTTGAGCCCGAACCTTCAAACCCTCCGACTGAGTCCTCGTGGCCACAGCCCTTATATACATATACATATACATATACACATACACATACACATACACATACACATACACATACACATACACATACACATACACATACACATACACATATACATGCATACATACATACATACATACATACATATCAAGATATAGTAATTTCCTCGAACTCCCTATTAAAAAGTGTGTATATATATATATATATCTGTACCTCCCCCCAACTCCCTACAAAATATGTATGTATGTGTGTGTGTATGTATGTATGTATGTATGCATGTATGTTTGTATGTATGTTTGTATGTATGTATAATTATACATACCCCTAACTCTCTCTAACAAAAGGAACAGAAGACCTTTCAAACCTTTGAAAAGCCCTCTTTGGCCAGGCTCTGGCTCTGCCTCGGGGAGCTCATGGACTCTGAGGATGTCCCCTAAACCCTAAACCCTAAACCCTAAACCCTAAACCCCAAACCCCCAAACCCCAAACCCCAAACCCGAAACCCTAAACCCTAAACCCTAAACCCTAAACCCTAAACCCTAAACCCTAAACCCTAGGCCCTAAGCCCTAAACCCTAAACCCTAAACCCTAAACCTGGAGGATGCCGAGGACATCGCCGCCGAGGCGCAGCTGGCGCTCAAAAGCTCGCCGCTCCCGGCGACCAGGGTCATAGTGCAGCTGGGCCCAAGGGTTTAGGGTTTAGGGTTTAAGGTTTAGGGTTTAGGGTTTAGGGTTACAGGGTTTACGGTTTGGAACAATCGGGTTGAGGGTTTAGGGTTAGGGAGGGTTTGGGGGCTTTTGGGTCTTAGGATTTACATTATAGGGTTCAGACCTGCAGGGCCCTGCACTTTTCGAACGGCTAGGCTTTAGAATAGCTTGGCCCGGCATTCGCAGCGCGGTTCAGTGTTGAGAGTTTAAGGTTTATAATACCTAAAACCCAAAACCCTAAACCCTAAACCCTAAACCCTAAACCCGAAACCCTAAACCCTAAACCCTAGTTCAAAAGATTTAGAGGCCCGAGTGTGGCAGAGCAACCGCCAAGGCAAAACGTCTGGGCCAAGGCTGCGCGGCTCCGCGGTCGGACCCTCGTGCCTCAGCTGGGTTTAGGGTTTAGGTTATTTCAGGCAATGGCCTCTTTATGAAGGGGTAACTGTTAAAATGGCCCGTAACAGAAACAGATTTGGGAAGAGATTCCGTAAATATTTTTAGGGTTCAGGAAATTGGGACCCCCGCAGGCCCGTGACAGAAACAGATTTGGGAAGAGATTCCGTAAATATTTTCAGGGTTCAGGGTTTAGGAACCCGGCCAAAGCTGAAAGAGGCCACCTGCCACAACCACCCCCCCAAGCGCATGTTTGAGTAGGGGCCAAAGCTGAAAGAGGCCACCTGCCACAAGTGGTCTTTCGCCCAAAGTCCTGTACCTAAAGAGGCCACCCCCCCTGAATGTCCAAAGCACATGTTTGAGTAGGGGGGGCCAAAGCTGAAAGAGGCCACCTGCCAAAGCTGGGCTTTCGCCCACAGTCCTGTAGCTAAAGAGACCACCCCCCTGGCCTCTTTATGAAGGGGTGACTGTCAAAATGGCCCGTAACAGTAACAGATTTGGGAAGAGATTTGGGAAGAGATTCCGTAAATATGTTGTTTTTGAGTGTGGACATTGAAGAGGGCTGGCCTCTTTAGTTACAGGGCTTTGGGCAAAACCCAGCTGTGGCGGGTGGCCTCTTTCAGTTTTGGCCCTTTTGTTCAAATATACATGTTTTGGACATTCAAGGGGGGTGGCCTGTTTAGCTACATGACTTTGGGCGAAAGCCCAGTTGTGGCGGGTGGCCTCTTTCGGCTTTGGCCCCTTCTGCTCAAATATGTGTTTTGGACATTGAGGCCGGGCAACACATTTCCTAAAGTAGTTAGTGTCGTTTTGGTGACCAGAGCCGGGCGACACATTTCCTACAGTAGTTAGTTGTTTTAGTGGCCAAAACCGGGCGACACATTTCCTAAACTAGTTAGTCGTTTCTGTGGCCAAAGCCGGGCGACACATTTCCTAAAGTAGTTAGTCGTTTTAGTGGCCAAAACCGGGCGACACAATTCCTAAAGTAGTTAATCGTTTTAGTGGCCAAAGCCGGGCGACACATTTCCTAAAGTAGTTAGTGTCGTGTTAGTGACCAAAGCCGGGCGACACTTTTTTTTCCTAAATTAGTTAGTAGTTTTTGAGACCAAAACCGGGCGACACATTTCCTAAACTAGTTCGTCGTTTTAGTGACCAAAACCGGGCGACACATGTCCTAAAGTAGTTAGTCGTTTTGGTGACCAAAACCGGGCGTCACATGTCCTAAAGTAGTTAGTCGCTTTAGTGACCAAAGCCGGGCGACGCATTTCCTAAAGTAGTTAGTCGTTTTAGTGACCAAAGCCGGGCGAAAATTTCTTAAACTACTTAGTCGTTTTAGTGACGATGTTTCACCTCTTGTCTATTGTTGCTAAGCGGAAAAATGCTTTTACAAAAAACAAGAAAGCTGAAAACAACTACAAAACCCTAGACAAGGTAGTCTTTCAACTTTTTGGCCACCCCTATTTTTGGTTGTGCGCTGTGCGTTCCGCCCCCCCCCCCCCAGGTATCCCACCCCCCCATGGTCTACAGTCTCCCCTAAACCAAGCCTAAACCCTAAACCCTAAACCCTTATATAACCCTAAACCCTACACCCTAAACCCTAAACCCCTAAACCCCTAAGCCCTAAACCGTAAACCCTAAACCCTAACCCCTAAATCCTAGGCGGGGGGGGGGTCCCGTGGTGGTGGTGGTGGTGGTCCCGTGGTGGTGGTGGTCCTGTGGTGGTGGTCCGGGGTGGTGGTCCGTGGTGGTGGTCCGTGGTGGTGGTCTGTGGTGGCAGTGGTGGTGGGGAGGTGGGGGCGGGGGGCGGGGGGCCGCCGGGGCGCAACCATACATAGGCCGTGCAAGAAACTCAAGGACACGGTTGAGGGTTTGGGGGTTTAGGGTTTTGGGGTTTCACAGGGTTCGGGCCAAAGCCCGACACAAAACACCCTAACCCCCAAAACCTTAAGGGTTTCGGATTTAGGTTTAGTTTAGGGTTTAGGCTGGGTGTTTTAGGGTTTGGCTTTAGGGTTTTGAAGATTAGGGTTGTTTAGAAGTTTAGCTGGTTTGGGGCTGTTTAGGGTTTAGAAGCTTTGGTTTGGGCCTTGAGGGCTATATTGTTTATTCTGGGAGTGGACTCGGGGGGACTTACTGGAAGGTATTTTATTATTAGGTTGTATTCATTTCAGAGGCCATGAAAGAGGAGGCCCTGGAACAGTTCTAGTCTGTTCCGGGTACCGTCAAAAAGTGTGCAAAACAACATGCCCTGGAACAGTTCTAGTCTGTTCCGGAGCAGAAAACCAGGCCCCGGAACAGTTCCAGAACAGTTCCGGAACAGTTCCGCTTTGTTTCGGGGTTTTGCCCCAAAAACGTGCGCCCTGGTACTGTTCTAGTTTGTTCTGGAGCATATGAAAACAAGGTTGTTCTTTTCTTATTATCTTCTGTTGTTTTTTATATATTTTTCATATTTGTTATGCTGTTATTTTGTGATATATATATATATATAGATATCTACATACTTCATTGTTATATTGCTATATTGTTATCTTGTTGTATTGGTATCTTGTTATCTTGTTATTTTGTTATATTGCTATATTGTTATATTGCTGTATTGTGTTTTACTGTCATAGTATTCTATTCTTCATATATCATAAAATGACATTATTCACAACGTGGACATTTTCCTCAAGGGACAAAGAGTCTCTAAAGGAGTTCCAAGGTCTATAAGTCTATAGCTTATATAGGCTATAGGCCTATCCTGCCTCTCCATTCGGGATGACGGAAGCCCTCTCCGGCGCGCTTTTGGCTCACGAAAGTGGCTCAGGGACAGTCTACGTGTCTATAGCCATATTGGCTACAGGCTATAGGTCCATACTGCCTCTCCTTTCGGGATGACGAAAACCCTCTCCGGCGCACTTTTGGCTCACGAAAGTGCGCCGGAGAGGGTTTTTGTGGCTCAGGGGACAGAGGGGATCCAAGTTCTACAGTCTATGGCTATAGGTCTATCCTGCCTCTCCCATTTTGGATGACGATAAAAACCCTCTCCGGCGCACTTTTGGCTCACGAAAGTGCGCCGGGGAGGGTTTTCGTGGCTCAGGGACAGAGGGGATCCAAGTTCTACAGTCTATGGCTATAGGTCTATCCTGCCTCTCCATTTTGGATGACGATGAAAACCCTCTCCGGCGCACTTTTGGCTCACGAAAGTGCGCCGGGGAGGGTTTTTGTGGCTCCGGGGACAGAGGGGATCCAGATTCTATAGTCTATGGCTATAGGTCTATCCTGCCTCTCCATTTTGGATTGCCACTGACACACCAAAGACTATTGCCTCGTTTCGGCCTAAGGATTGCCACTGACACGCCAAAGAGGCCATTGCCTCGTTTCGGCCCAATGATTGCCACTGACACACAAAGAGGCCATTGCCTCATTTCGGCCCAATGATTGCCACTGACATACCAAAGAGGCCATTGCCTCGTTTCGGCCCAATGATTGCCACTGACACACCAAAGAGGCCATTGCCTCGTTTCGGCCCAATGAACTCACAGGTTCCATTTACAGGATTTGCGACGTGATTTGCTACATGCCCTTTTCCATTTACAGGATTTGCGACGTGATTTGCTACATGCCCCTTTTCCTTTACACGATTTGCGACGTGATTTGCTACATGCCCTTTTCCCTCTCATTCCCCCAGATATGTGGCTGACAGTTAAACAGGCCAACGCTTGAAATAAGGTTTAGGGTTTAGGGATTAGGAGGGCATTCTTCTTCTGGTTTCGGGTTTAGGGTTTGGGATACTAGTGCTTGTGCTCCTAACCGTGCTGCTGCACAACAGCCCGCCCGGCTCTCGAAGGGAAGCTCCTTGCAAGTAGTCATTATAAGCTCATTGGTCGCTTGGATTTTGTCTGCCCAGCCATGCAACCCAAGACCCTATGAACCCTAAACCCTCTACATATATATATATATATCAACACATACCCTACTAAGCCTACTATTTGCTTAAGAACCTTCCCCCCCCCAAAAAAAAAAGCAACATATGATTATCCCATATTTACCCTTATAAGGAAGAATACTTGTACTTTTTTTATTTTTTTTTTGGGGGGGGGTTGCCCAGGTCCTGAGCTTGGCCGACACGTTGTTTGACCCGGACCTTCCAGAGGCCTTCGCGGCCAACGCCGTCTCCGTGGCAGCGCAGCTGCTGCTCCATCCAGGCGCGTTTAGGGTTTAGGGTTTAGGGTTTAGGGTTTAGGGTTTAGGGTTGAGGGTGTTTAGGGTTTAGGGTTGGGTCCTGGGGTTGAGGGCACTTGAGGGCTTTAAGGGCTTTAAGTGTTTACATGATGCAGATGTGTTGATAGGAGTAGCTACGCCCATCTTGCAAGCCCAGTGGTGCCCTTTTGTTTTTTTTTTTGGCGGGGGGTCTTGGGTTCCCTACAAAAGTATCCAACACTGCGGGGGCACCTTGAAGCCCTAAACCCGAAAAAAAAAAACTATAGCATGGATATTGGGCTATTAAGCCACTGCGGACCTCACAAGATTGTAATATATTCAGCGTTGGAGTCTTTGAGGGGCATGCCAAGGTTTGCTCCTCCAAGCCAACGTTATATATGCCTTGAGGACCACATGAACCCCAAAAGGGTTTGTGGTTCATATTGCCTTAAAAGGAATTCTTGTGACTCTCCTTACCTACAGTTTTATGGGTTATACCTACTTAAGGGGTAGTTACTACTAAACTGTACGTAGAAAGAGCCCCAGGTTATCGTAGCATAGGGTATACGACCCTAATACCCCAATTTCAGGATTCATTTGGTGCTTAGGGTGGTAAGTTGTGTGTTTTAGGCCACCCCGAGTCTCCTCTCGCGCTCCCCCAAAAGCCCGAAACCCCAAACCCCAAACCCCAAACCCCAAACCCCAAACCCCAAACCCTAAACCCTAAACCCTAAACCCTAAACCCTATACCCTATACCCTAAACCCTAAACCCCAAACCCTAAACCCTAAACCTAAACCCTAAACCCTTTACCCTAAACCCTAAACCCCAAACCCCAAACCGCACGGCCAGGACGTGGCGCTCCGGAGCGTCTGAAGGATGCCGCAGGTCAAAGTGGGGCATCCGGCCCCCCGCACGGATGGGTTTAGGGTCTAGGGTTTAGGGTTTAGGGTTTAGGGTTTAGGGTTTAGGGTTTAGGGTTTAGGATCCTTCTTATAAGGGAATCCTGCTATGCTGGTTCTTGAGAATCGACTACTATCCCTAAACCCTATACCCTGAACCCCAGCAACTAGTGTTTCCGGCTTTGGGGGGTTTGCTTCGGCTTCAGAGTCTGAGTCCAACCTTTAACCCTGACAGCCCTGAACCCTAACCCCCTAACCCCCTAACCCCCTAACCCCCTAACCCCCTAACCCCCTAAACCCTAAATCCTAAACCCTGAGCCCGTGTGTAGGTGGCCCCTTCTATCGTTTGTTTAGGACTCCATTTTCGACTGTTTTTCCTTTGGCAGAATTAGAGCCCTTAGTCTTTGAGGGGGAGGCCCTGATTATTTTTCCAAAGGTTTCGGTTCCCTTATGGGCCCCTTCAAACCCGAACGCGTTTCTTTTTATTCCTAGGCTAATTTCTCTTGCCCTATTCTAACCCGAAACCCTAAACCTCAGAAGCAAGCCCCAAGCGCTAAGGGCTGAACCCAAACCTGAAACCCTAAACCCTGAAACCCTCAACCAGAAACCCTAAACTCTAAACCCCCTTGAAGCCAAGCCTCCTCAATCCAAGGTTACCTCTCCGCCTCCGGGACGCTGGACGAAGCCAACGAGCGGCTGCTTGCTGCCCTGGCTTCTGGGCTTCAAGGGACTATAAAGGAAGGACCCTTTACAGGGGTTTAGGGTTTAGGGTTTGGGGGTTGGGGTTTGGGGTTTGGGGTTTAGGGTTTGGGGTTCAGCGTTCAGGGTTTAGGGTTTAGGGTTTGCGGTTTAGGGTTGCTAGTCAAGGGGTTATTTAGGGGCTACTTGGGCATATAGGGACGATATAAGGTATATATAGGGGTTGTAGTGGGGAATAAGATGAAGGATCCCTTTTTAGAGTCCCTCCTTTGACGCCTCAAGCTGTGTTGGGGGTTTGTATGGGCTTACTGCCGGGTGGTGGCTAAGGGTTTGTGTCTTTATATGGGGATAAATACGAATAGCATTCCCTTCTGGTTCCTATATAGCTATACTATGATCGAAGGATTAAGGCCCCCAGGGTAGGTTGTTTTTGGTGTTTACCCTAAACCCTAAACCCTAAACCCTAAATTTAGGGCTGTTGTTTATGTTAGGTCTGGGACTTGTCGAGTTTGGGGTGGTTTAGGGCTTTCTGTCTTTGGTCTAGGGCTGTTGGGGATCTGGGGACCCCTAAACCCCAGAAGCCTCAAAAGCCCTAGCCCCTAAACCCAAAACCCCAAAACCCTAAACCCTAAATCCTAAACCCTAAACCCTAAACCACGGCGAGGGGCTAGAAATCTTAAAAAGCCGAGGTAGGCTGGAGCGCTTCCTACGTCCACGGGCCCCGCCTCCTGGCGTCCCTGGCGCTCTTCCACGCTTTGGAGACCCGGCGCTGGCTTTAGGTTTAGGGTTTCGGGTTTAGGGTTTAGGGCTTAGGGATGTTCCCCCGTATACTAACAGTCCTTAATAGGTAATCGCTTCCCCCTTGTACTAAACATACCCCTACTTGCAATAACACCTCCGGATTGTCCTGCCGAAACCGGCCCCGCCTTTTAAACCCTATTCCGAATTAGGGGAGGGCTCCCAAAACCCTCAAACCAACCAACATCCTGAAGCTCTCTTCCCTCCCTTCCCTCCCAGCCCTCCCTTCCCTCCCGGTCATTTCGAGGCACGCAGCTGTCTGTGAGCCTGGCTCTCCACAGCCACATTTAGAGTTCTATTGGAGGAGGAAGAGGGGCCCCGCCAGTTTAGTAATAGGGATGATTATACTAACCGCTTATGAAAATCTCATTGAGGCCTTTTAGTATAAGGGGGAACATCCCAGGTTAGGGGCTTAGGGGCTTAGGGGCTTGGGGGTTCAGGGGTTATAGGGGTTAAAGGGGCTGAGGGTTCAGGGTTTCGGGTTCTGGGGCTTAGCTGACAGCTCCACTGTTGCCTGAACCCAAGACGATTCGCCCCAGTAAGCACCCTCATGAGCCGACATGCCGAGGATCGGAAGCTAACGCCAGCGACTGGCATGCCCCGTCCCATGTTTGGGATGCAGGTTTGAGGGTTGAAGGGTTTAGGGCTGAGGGTTTAGGGTTTAGGGTTTACTTGAAGTTTAGGGGTTGGGGACCAGGTGGTTGGGGTTCAGGCTTCATGCATCGGGGTTCAGGGGTGGAAGACGCGAAGCCTCTGTATGCCCTTAGCGGCCGTGCGCACGCTCGGTGAAGTTTCGAAGACCTCCCAAGTGTTGCCTGTAAACCCCCAACACTCTCTCAACCCTAAACCCCGAAAACCTTGGTAGCCCAAGGGGTATCCTTTACCCTTTTTTTGTTATGGGGTTCCCTTATAAAGTACCCAACCCCAAAATGGGTGCCGTGATTATAAGTTTATTACTGGGCTACCGAGACACTGTAACCTTAAGACCCTTAACGCCTACAAATGAGCCGCTGACGAGAGTTCCCCAGACCCAGGGAGTGGAGATGGACATTCTCTTGCTTCTCCGTAATCCTGTCAAACCTACGCCCTCAAGCCTAAACCCAAAACTCCTAAACCCTAAGCCCTCCGAAACCCTAAGCCCTAAACCCTAGACCCTAAGCCCTAGCCTCAAACTTCGTGTCCTACAGCTCCCAAGCCCTCAAGATCTCCGACGTGGGAAAAAAGCGAGCCCAAGTTGGGGAATTAGGCTTTGGAGTTTAGGGTTCACATGGTTGAGAGTTGAGGGTTTAGAGTTTAGGCTTCAGGGCTTAAGGTTTCGGGTTTAGGGCTTGGATTTTAGGGTTTAGTGTTTAGGTACTACAAAGTTTGGATTTTAGGGTTTTAGGGTTTTTCTTCTTTACGGGGGTCTACGCGGTGAAGGGTGCGGGCTTTATGGGGCGTGGTTTGGGGGTGCGGGCTTCTTGGGTTTCTGGGGCTTGACCTAATGGTTCTGGGTTTAGGTTTCAGGGTCTCTAGAGCTTCCATAGGGGCCCTAAAACCGAAACCCTAGTTCAAGCTTGTAGGGCTTGCGCTATTGAAAGCCCCCCTGGACCCTTTGAATAGGCCTCTAAGGGCCTTGAGGACTCTAAGCCTCCAAGCTTTTGTCATTATACTGAGCTTTCCAAGGATACTATGAGAAGACCTATAGTCCCTATATACACCTTAGGTTTAGGGTTTAGGGTTTAGGGTTTAGGGTTTAGGGTTTAGGGTTTAGGGTTTAGGGTTTAGGGTTTAGGGTTTAGGGTTTAGGGTTTAGGGTTTAGGGTGCAAAACCCCACGCGAGCAAGCCAGGTATCTCGAAGCCCTCGAGCGGCAAGTGCGCCACGCCTCCGCCTTCAAGCGGCTGCGGGAGCGCGTGCGCATGGAGGTCTCGCGCTGCGGGGCGAAGTTCGGGATGAAGAGCTTTAGTTACTTGGGGGTTTAGGGGGTTTAGGGGGTTTAGGGAGTTTAGGGGGTTTAGGGAGTTTAGGGGGTTTATGGTTGACTTAGGACTGTTTTTGAGCTTAGGATTGCGAAGCCCCCTGGCAGCAGCCTTTTATTTGGTGAACCCAGGGACGTAGTGCTTGCATATCTGGATAAGCTTTTCAGGGTTTGCAAACCTTGAGGTAGGGTTCCGGGAGGAACGCTTCAAGTGGTTTGAGGGCTCATCGCTCAGAGGTCTGGGTCTCGGTTGGTCTTAGGGTGTATGAAGACCTGAGTTAGGAGTTAGGAGTTAAGGTTCACTCTCTTTAGATATTGAGGATCGAGGATTTTCCTTAAACCCTCAGACCCAAAACCCAAAACCCCGACACTTCAGCACCCAAAGCCCGTCGCGCGGGGAGGACTGGGTGAGTTCCTGCTGGTCGGCAGTGAAGCCGTCACGTCCCCTTGACGTGGTCCTCAACGCCGCATGTAAGCAGGCAGGGCTCATGGCCAGGGCGTTGTAAACGTTGTAAACCTCAATCCGGAAGCCCTGACCCTGAAGCCTAACCCGAAGCTCTAAACCCTTATAGCTGAACCCTAACCCTCATCTCTTACCCCTAATTTGGGCTTAAGGCTTCTAGCTGAACCCTAATTAGCCCTAAGCTCTGAACCCTATTGGGGCTTAAGGCTTATAGGGGATCGAGGGTTCAGGCGGGGATCGAGGGTTCAGGCTCTCTTTTTTGCGGGCTTTGTGTTTGGGATTCAGGGTGGGTTGAGGATCTTCTGCACGGGGTTTGAGAGTCTACAGGGCTTGTGCGGTGAAAAACAGATGTCTTAAGGCTAAATGGGCTTGTGCGCTTGGGACCCGGTGGTGAGGGGTTGCGGCGAAGTGCCGTAAAACCCGACAAACCCTAAGCCCTAAACCCTAAACCCTAAACCCCAAACCCTAAACCCTAAACCCCATAACAAATTGAATCCCCAAAGGCCTCAAGCCCTTCACGCCACAGGTGTCCAGTGATTTGTGGTCGCCTGCAGTCCCGCCGTTAACTCAGCTCTCATCATCTGGGGCTTTTTCTGGTACTCTAGATTATTTCAGAACCCAGACGGAACCCCGCACCCCTATCCCCCTTCCACCCCCCCTCCGGCCCCCCGAAGGTATTCCACTGAAGGCCTACATGGGGTTGATCTAAAGGTCCTTCTGGGAAATTGTTCAGGGTTCGTATGGTTCATAATGGAGACAGCAGTGATTTTTGAACAGGTATTTCCCTATACCCTAAACCCCCAAACCCTAAACTATAAGTCTCCCTTATTTGTGCCTGAGACGTGGCTGGCAAGGTTGGACACGGAAGGCGACGATGGGCCGACTGCTGCAGATGAAGGCGCAGGCGCGCGCGTCTCTGTAGTGAACTTTTGGGCCCCACAGGGTGTAGGGTTTAGGGTATAGGGTATAGGGTTTAGGGTTTCGTGTCTTTTGTACGTGTTATATTGTTAGACTGTTATCCCACCTTAATATGGCACTGTTATACTGTTCCATTAGCTTAAGGGAACCCTTGTGGTGATCTAGGGAACCCTTCTAAACACATGTGGTGTAACCGGTGTATTCTGAACCCCAAGCCCTAAACCCTAATTTCGGGGGTCATTTTTGGTGCCAAAAGGTTCAGGGACTCTTCGGTTGATTTCTTTTTTTGTGGGAGAGGGGGGGGGGGGGGCCTGGAAAATATTAGGAGTTGGGACTCAGCGGATTTGAGACGCCTGAAAGGTTCGGCTCGGCTGCTAAGTCTCCAGATGGCCTTGAAATCTGTCAGCCCCAAAGATTTTCAAGGTAGGAGCTTGGGGCTTAGGGCTTAGGGGTTCGGGGTTAGGGTTTAGGGTTTAGGGCTACTGCTATGCTCTCCCGTCTTGGGTTTACGAGGATCATCTTTCGGAATATCTTCAGAGGGTCTGCAGCTCCCATCCTGGCAGGGTCGGGCCTTGTGGCGGAGACTTTGTGTTTGTTTCCCGGTCGTCGGGAGTGTCGGAGGATCCTCAAACCATCAACACACAACCCTAAACCCTAAACCCTAAACCCTAAACCCTAAATCCTAAACCCTAAACCCTAAACCCTAAACCCTAAACCCTACCCTTTTTTGCAGAGGTTCCCTGGGCTGACTGGGTGGTGAGTCCGGTCGGCTAAGCCCCAAACCCTAAAACCCTTAAAACCCGATTACAATAGGGGGTACGAGAATCCCTATGAAGGACTGTTAGTATTAGGGGGGGGGGGGGGGGGGGGAACATCCCAACCTAAAAGCCCTAATACCCCTAGACCCCTGAATACCCTAAACCCTATTGCCCTAAACCCCAAAACCCCTAAACCCTGAAAACCCTTAGAACTCTAAACTCCTAGCCACTAAATACCCTAATACCCTACATCCGCTAAACCAAACACCATAAAAAGCCTTAAAACCCTAAAACCCCTTAAACCCTCAAAACCCTTAAAACCCTAAGTACCCTAAACCCTAAATACCCCCTAAACCACAGGTGGGCAGCAGCGGCGGCCCCCGCGCCCCCCACGAGGCTAAGCCCGAGATTTGAGAGTTTCGGATTGGCGACATTGGGTTTAGGGTTTAGGGTTTACGACAAAAGGGGACCCCCAGAATGGACCCCAAGATAGCAGGATTCCCTTATAATAAGGACTCTAATAAGGTGCCCCTCATATCGTAAACCCCCACATGACTTGGGGCTGGCAAACCACCAGGCTGGGCGAAATCATACCCGATGACCCCTTCAGAAGGCCCTATCATGGGGCTGATCATGGGGTTGATAAGGCCGAATAGCCCCCCCCCCCCCCCCCCCCCGGCACCGCAGGGAACGCAGAAAACGGAGCCTTGCACGCTTCTGCCCGACCCGGCGACTTTCGACGCCTCACTAGATCACCACGGATCACTGCCGCCACAAGTTTAGGGTTTAGGGCTTAGGGTTTAGGGTTTAGGGTTTAGGGAACAGCAGGCCAAGGGAACTGCCAAGGGCAACCTCCAACAGGCTCCAAGCAATATGCTGCCCGTCAAGTCTTGTCAGTTTTGTCGCGCCACGCGGCGTCATGGCCGCTTTACACTTTGCAAGCCAGAGCTGGGCGTGCGCAAAACACAATCCGTGCTGCAGAGGATATGCCCCAGGCCCGCGCTCTTGCTCAGGAAGCAAACTGGGTTGCCACTCAGGTGGCAAAGGCCACCAAAAGGCTCGAAACCAATATCAAGGGGATCCTGGCTGCGCTTGCGTAGGGTTTAGTGTTTAGGGCTTAGGGCAAGGTCGTGGAGTCCTGGAGCTTGGAGAAGAGATCAGGGCACGGAGGCTCATCGTAAGTGAGGCTCTTGGTTCCACCCCCAAATTGGTTCGTGCGACGTGCTTTAAACAATGAGCCGGGAACCTCCTTGCACCCCAGTACGAACACCTTAGTGAAACCCAATCCCTCAACTCTACAACCCCAAAACCCTAAACCGTTCAACCCCCAAAACCCCAAACCCAGAGCCCTGGCCATACACCCGAAGCCCCAATCCCTCAAACCCTAAAACCTTAAACCGTAAAAAAACCCTACAACCCTAAACCCTTAAACCCGAGGCTCCAAACCCTAAAACCCACCCCAAACTCTTAAAACAGCAAACCCGAAGCCCCTAAACCCTAAAACCCTTCACCCCGAAAGCCCCCCAAACCCTAACCCCCTGGACTCTTCACTAAAAGCCAGCCGAAACTCTTAGCACAGAACACACGAAGCCCTTAAACCCTAACCGCCTAAATCCTTAACCCCCCCGAAACCCTAAACCCTAAACCCTAAACCCTAAACCCTAAACCCTAAACCCTAACAACCCTAATCCCTGGACACTTCACTGTCGTGGCCGGCTCGGGGAGGCTCCCATGCGAGCGAGGTGGAAGTTGCCATCTGTGCCTCGCTGGTTGACAATGCCGGGCCCCTGGTGGTAAGATCTAGGATGCCCGGTAGTACCCCTTATTCCCTTTTTGGGGGGTTTTGGGTTCCCTTAGAAACCCCTTTTGAGCAAAAAAGGGTACCCTTTTTAAGCCTAGGTTACTGTGACATAGGGGCCTTCATGAGTAGACTAGGGTTCTGGGGGGTTAGTAGAGTATATTTAAACAAAGAGCCATGAGGAACTGCTATTCGCACTCATTCCGACCCCTATAGTGGCCCAGTGGTAAGCCTTTTTCCTTTTGTTGGTTCAAGTTTCCCTGCTACAGTAACCAGTTGGGATGTTCCCCCTTTTTTTTGTTTGGGGGGGGGGGGAGCCCTATTAAGGACTGTGAGTATACGATCCCAAGTAGCCAGGCCAAAAAAAGGTGCCCTTATAATGATATTGTTCCCGGGTTGCCAAGTAAGGGTTTAGGATTTAGGGCCCAGGGTTTGAGGGTCCGTTTATTGGAGCTGCGGAGTTGCAGGCGACTGGGGTTTTTAGGGTTTAGGGTTTAGGGTTTACCCTAAACCCTAAACCCTAAACCCTAAACCGTCTCAACCCCAAAGCCGAGCCCATAAACCCAGAACCTCTCTAAACCCTAAGCGTAAAGGGTCCTAATGCAACCCCAAGCCCCGGAAAGCGCAAAGCCTAAAGCCAAGAAGAACAGCTGAGAAACCCATAAACCCATCAGCCCTAAACCCCATAACCCCCCCCCCCCCCATAACCCACACAACCCCCATACACCCCATAAACCTTCCAAACCCCATAAACCCCATAAACCCCATAAACCCCATAAACCCCATAAACCCTAAAGCTTGAAGCCAAACAAAGCAACAAAATAACCCTAAGCCCTGCACCCAACCCTGAAGCCTAAACCTTAAAGCTAAACCCTAAACCCTAAACCCTAAACCCTAAACCCTAAACCCTAAACCCTAAACCCTAAACCCTAAACCCTAAACCCTAAACCCTAAACCATACAAAATGCTCACCAGCAGACGAGGTGCCAAACATGGCGGGGCTCATCCGCACCTCAGAAGCTTTGTTGGGAGGCTGGGAGCCCTAGGAGCATCCCAGGCACTCTATCCCAAATGATCTAGGACCCATGAAGGGTTTAGGGTTTAGGGTTTAGGGTTTAGGGTTTAGGGTTTAGGGTTTAGGGTTTAGGCATAGTAGGACCCAGAGTAGGCCTCATTCCCTTTTTGGGCCCTCACAAGCCCCTGTAAACCAAACAAAAGCAACCTTTGTATTCCTAAGTTGCTCTTCGGTCTAGGTTTAGGGTGTTGAGGGTTGTTTAGGTTGATAGGGCTTGGGGAGTTTGGAAGGGTTTATGTCTCTAAGGGTTCAAGGGTTAAGGGTTTAAGCGTTCCAGGGTTTAGGGGTTGAAGGGTTTTTGGGTTTGACAGGGTTTTGGCTGGGTTTCGAGTGTGTGGTTGAAGCGTTTTAGGGCTTAGGGTTTCTAGGCCGTGTTTTAGATTTGGGCTTTTGTGTTTGAGGTTTAGGTACTAGGCTTTAGGGGTTTATTGGATAGAGCTCCAAAGAATTGTGGGGGCTAAGGCTCCCTGAACCGTAAACCCGAAACCCGAAAGGGTTTAGGGTTTAGGGTTTAGGGTTTAGGGTTTAGGGTTTAGGGTTTAGGGTTTAGGGAACTTGAGGGCTTAGAACGAAGGGATGAAGACTCGTAACCCCTAAGGTTGTACCCCAAAGGTTCCCCTGAATGCGCTCCCAATATGCGCTCCCCTGGCCGATTCGACGATGTTGCCGCGACTCCCGCCCTCCCAAACTAACACCCTCCCACCCTCCCACCCACCCTTCCCTCAGAGCTCGTCACTGTTACACTGTAGGGTTCAAAAACCCCCACAAACCCCATAAGTCCCCATACGCGCCAGAAGCCCCATAAACCCTAAAGCCTGAACTCCAAACCCGAAGCTGAAAGCCCGGGGCCACTGCTGAGGTTGCGTGGAAGTCGCACTCCGCAACGACAAGGCCCTGAAGACCTAGGGTCACAGGCATGGGTGGTGGTGGGGTCGTGGCTCTTGCAAGGTTTGGTGTTCACTCTGGCCTAAACCCTAAACCCGAAACCCTAAACCCCAAACCCCAAACCCCAAGCCCTGGTTGTGTAGGCCCTAACTCGAGCACGTCTCGGCAAATACTTTTGTAGGCCCGCCTCCAAAAAAGATTAACGGTTTCCGAAATTGTAGGGGTCCCCTAGTTTTCGTAAACCTCCATTGTTTTGGAAGAGTCAACTGGCCGTTTGCTCGATGCACAAGGTGCATCCGAAGACATAGCACTGATGCTGCCATGATACTGGTACCATGGCTTGGATAGTAGTTGGCCACGCGATTGCGTCGTAGAGGGCTTCAGGAAGTAGACTTACTGGAGCTCACTGGCCGTACACTCGAACTCTACAAACGCCGAATACTGCCCCTTGTCCGACTACCGGGAAAGTACCCTATACCCTAAACCCTAAACCCTAAACCCTAAACCCTAAACCGAACCCTAAACCCTAAACCCTAAACCCTAAACCCTAAACCCTAAACCCTAAACCCTAAACCCTAAACCCTAAACCCTAAACCCTAAGCAGCCGTTCCCTGCTGGAGGGCAATTACATTGACCAATCGGCTCCGAAGCCACAGCCGCAAAAGGGCTGGCGCTCACAACCCGAAGCAGCCCCCCCTAACTACCACGCAGAAGTATCACCGGGGACTCAGGGTTTAGGGTTTAGGGTTTAGAGTTTAGGGTTTAGGGTTTAGGGTTTAGGGTTTAGGGTTTAGGGTCAGGGTTTGTTTACCTACAGTTTAGTAGTAACCAGCCCTGAATTAGTAGGTATAACCCATGGAAAGTGTCGGCAAAGAGAGTCCCTGGCAGGTCCGCGAGGTTGCTCGAAGTCGAAGTCCTCAAGTCTATAACTCTGTGAGGATTATTTACTGCTGCGAGATCTCCACATGCTGCAAACGACATCCCCAAACCCCCCCAAATGAACCTCCTATATATATATATATATGTATATATACTATGTATATATATATATATATACAAAAATATAGTTTTTTGGAAATACATTTTGTATATGTGAGGAGCCCAGTAGTACCTGAACCCATGTTGTTTCTACACTCCAAATTCCAAAAACATATTTTCAAAACGCAGAAGGGACCCATGCCGTGGCCCCTAACAACTTTTGGATTACATGCTGTGGGGTTTAGGGTTTAGGGTTTACTCTTTCTTGGAGAGGTGCGTGAGATTCGTTCTACTCCAGCAACTACCCGCTCCAAAGGGGCCCGCGCGAAACCCTCAGCAACTTGATTCATGAAATGGCGGATGCACCCTGCACCCTAAAGCCTAAAGCAAAATGTTACACTCTGAAAATCTACGGAGTCCTATTCCCATCGCCTCCCCACGACAAAAACGCGCAAAAAAAAGCGGGGGCGACAGCCAAGCCTTCAGACTCTCTTTACCTACAGCTTCATGGGTTATACCTAATTAAGGGGCAGCTCCTACCAACCTGTAGGACCCTCAACCCTAAACCCTAAACCCTACACCCTAAACTCTAAACATAGAGCCCCCAGGTAGTGTATGCGACCACTCCTGCAGGTGAGACAGGAGGGCCACTTCCAAAAGATGGTCGTGGCCGCGGACGCTTGGGTGAAGTTTTTATTGCTTGGCTGTGTTTGATGTTTAGGGTTTAGGGGTTTAGGGTTTAGGGTTTAGGGGAGGGTTTAGGGTTTAGGGTTTAGGGTTTAGGGTTTAGGGTTTAGGGTTTAGGGTTTAGGGTTTAGGGTTTAGGGTTTAGGGTTTAGGGTTTAGGGTTGGGATTTAGGGTTTAGGGTTTAGGGTTTAGGGGGTGAAGGGCTTACAGGACTAAGGAAGGGGCGCCCCTTATGGAATTGAGGGAACAGCTTCTAGTCTTGAAGGCTTGGGCGGGAATGTTACCCTACATCCCAAACCCGAAAACACCCTGACAATATGTAAAATTCAGATCAGCAGGCGCCATATGTGAGTAGGATTCAGACCATGGTTCCCTTGTGCGTTGAGGGTGCAGGTCATGGGGGGTTGTTAGCTGTGCTTTATCACCCTAAGCCCTAAGCCCTAAACCCTGAAGCCTAAACCCTAACCCCTAAATCCTAACCCGAAACCCTGGCCATGTTGTTGCTTACTTGTCGGGGAAAAAGGGGGAACATCTCAATCTAGGGATGCAAAGGGCTCACAGGGTTGATAGGGCTTTAGGCACGGGGACGCTGTGGCTTGAAAGCCAACACCCGAAACCCTAAGCCCTAAACCCTAAACCCTAAACCCTGAACCCTGAACCCTGAACCCTGAACCAAACTCTACTTATGCCCTATTGTTGGCTCATCGAACCTTTCCTTCCTCCTCCTTGTAGACCCTTCACATCCCAAATCGTGAACGTCGTAAACCCTAACCCTGTTTGTACCTTCAGTAGGACCGAAGAGACCTCTGTAGCTAAGGACAAGAATGTGCGCAGCGATCTCAGGAATGGTGCCAATCTTGACGGGCTAGGGGCTTTTGTGGGGTTTAGGGTTCATGGTTTAGGGATGTTCCCTTCTACTACCAGTCCTTGGTAGGGATATTATAGTACCCCCTATTAGAATTGAGGACTGTTAGTATAAGGGGGAACATCCCAAGGTTTAGGGGCTTTACGAGTAAGGGTGTAGGGCTTTGGGGCCTCGGACCCCATCTTGACGAGGGTGTGTGGCATGAGCCATATCGGTACAGTCTTAGCCTGAGCTCATGTCCCCCCCCCCCCCCCCCCCCCCCCAATTAAGGGCCCATAGGGTCGAGGATTGAGGGTTGAGGGTTGAGGGTTTAGGGCTTAGGGTTTACGGTTTAGGGTTGCGGGTTTAGGGTTTGATGCTTCGTCCAAGTAAGCTGTAAGCCCGACAACCTCAGGTATCTAGGTCACCCTAGCTGGGTTGGCCGGGTCACTCAAAGCCCGAAACCTGAAAACCTTATTCCTACATCCCCAAAACCCCCTAAAGCCTAAATCCTAAACCCCGAAACCATACACGCCCACAACCCTGAAGCCTTATAAGGCTTCAGTACTGAACCCCAAACCTGTAATCCTAAACCCAACCCCAAGAGCCCAATTCCCAGGGCTTAGGGCGAGGGTTTGGGGTTTATGGGTTAGGGTTTATGGTTTAGGGCCAGGGCTTGCAGGGCTTAATATATGGGTCGGAATAGTTACGAATAGTACTCCCTTATGGTCCCTATGTAAGTAGACTGGAACAACCCCCAAAACCGTATTCTAATTGTTCAGGCCCTTTTTGTAGAGCTTAGGGTTTCCCCTTCATGTACTCCTAATATGGCCCTTGTACTACCGTATATTGTCGTGAAAAAGGGTCCCCAAAACCGAAGGGTACAACCTTAAGCGTCCAAGGTACAACCCCAAACCCCAAAACCCCAAAACCCCAAAACCCCAAAACCCCCAAAACCCCCAAAACCCCCAACCCCAAACCCCAAACCCCAAACCCCAAACCCCAAACCCCAAACCCCCAACCCCCAACCCCCAAACCCCAAACCCCAAACCCAAACCCCAAACCCTAAACCTTAAACCTTCTAGACTTAGCTTCCAAGGGATCTCCGCAGTACCGCCTGGCCCGCGGCTCCTGCACTTCCTCCGGGAGCATCGGGCGCAGGGCAAGCAGGCTGGGTTGGGCTAAGAGGGGTGTAAAGGGTCTAGGGCTTCTAGGGGCTTAGGGTTTAGGGTGTTATTATTGTTTAGGGTAGTTTAGGGTAGTTTAGGGTAATTAGTTTAGGGTTTAGGGTTTAGGGTTTGTAGGGCTTGCAGGGTTTAGGCTGAGAATGGCTAATTGCTGTGCTTGATGGGTTTATGCCAGCGCCAAAAAAAAACAGCCCGAACCCGAGTCCTGCAGACCAGCCGAAAGTGAAGCTCTGAGGCTCCATGGGTTTAGGGTTTAGGGTTTTGGGTTTTGGGTGTTGGGTTTTGGGTTGGAAGCATATCCCTTAGTATGGTCCCTTGCCCTTAGTGTTATATAACGGTTATATCACAGGGGACCCAAATTAAGGGCCTATGCTTCGGATCCCCTACCATGGATGTCTCAGCCCCCGAGCAACGAAAGGGTTCAGGGTTTGGGGTTCAGGGTTTAGGGTTCAGGGTTTAGGATTTACGGTATGTAGGGTTTAGGCTTTAGGGTATATTGGCTGTGTTTCGCTTGTGATTTGCAAGTTGGATGTGCTCCGCCACCGACAGTATTCCCCCCGGAGACTTTCCAGACTGAGGGTCGCACTGGCATTGCTGGGCAATTACAGGGTTCAGGGTTTAGGGTTTAGGGTTTAGGGTTTAGGGTTTAGGGTTTAGGGTTTAGGGTTTAGGGAGCGCTTGTTCTGTGCGGTAGTGGCGGACCCATCCCTCTCGACGGCCGCCCACTTGCACCTCTGAGGGCCATGAGGCTCCTTTCGGAGATCTATACCGTAACCCCCAGCGTCACCCTAAGCCCTAAACCCTAGAGCCTAGACCCTAAACCCTAAACCCTAAACCCTAAACTCTAAACCCTAAACCCTAAACCCTAAACCCTAAACCCTAAACCATAACATACATAGATACCCTCCTGGAGACCCAAAGCTCCTTCACACCAACCCAGAATGTCACACCCCCGTACCTGCATGGGTCCGGGTAGTTTAGTGGTACCCTTTTCCCTGTTTTGGTTCTAGGCTTCCTCATAAAAGTAACTAACCCCCTAAAGAGGGTGCCCTAATTACAAGATGGTTACAGGGCTACCGAGAAGCCCAAAACTTAGAAAGCCCCTACGGGTCCTACTAGGGGGCCTTTTGGCGAAGAAGCTAGAAGTAGAGTCCCCACATACCGACGTAGCCCCTAAACAACCCCGAAATAACCCCTAAGGTCCCTTATAAGGTACCTCCATTCAGTCCCTTGAAATACCTTTAGCCCCTTGAAATGTCTCTAGACTACCATTAGTCCGTTGAGATAAGGGGTTTTCCCAAACACAGGGGGTGCCCTTGTTGTGGGTTCCTGGGTTTGGGGTTCTTAGGCATGTGTCCTGACATGTATAGCTTCAGGGCTAGGAGCTGCTTCTCAATCTTTCCGGCTAAAATAAGAAGACACCCGAAGCCCTGCACCCTAAATCTCTGTGTCTGTGTACTCAGCAGGTCGTTGCATTGGAGCAGACCTCCAACAGCGAGATCTTGCAGGCGACCGAAGAGCACTCGAGCGTCGAGCCTAATAAGATGTTGGTCAGTCCGAAATTCGGAAACAGCAATACAGCAATACAGTAAGATAATAATAGAATTTCTGCAACAATATGATAGTACGAGACTAGTACAATGTAATAGTGCATTGATATAGTGAAAGAACATAGTCGCGGTACTGACAGTTCAGAAGCTGAGGTGTGTGCATTTGGTTCTTGGGTGTTTGGTGTTTTGGTGTTCGTGGGTCGGGGGATGTGTATTTTGTCTTTCGTAAAGTCCCCATGCTACCTGCTCAAGGTGGCCACAGGCACACAGATGACATAGCAGGACCAAGGAACGTCAGGGACCGAAGGAGGGCGTTTGTAAGGCCCGGGCCACACAAATTGCTATTTGAACACTGAGCCCTAAACTTTTTGCGATTCCAGTTTTATATAAGCCTCCGATAAGCCCCAAACCGCCTGGCATCTACGTGGCGAGGCCGGTACGGAGCTGCCCAAGCACTTCGTCCTTCTCTTGGGCAGTGAGCAGGCCCTCAACCCTAAACCCCAAACCCTAAACCCCAAACCCTAAACCCCAAACCCTAAACCCCAAACCCTAAACCCTAAACCCTAAACTCAGCCCCGGCTGAGGGTTTACGGTGCCAGCAGCATCAATACAAGGCCGCTGAGGCCTCTAGAAAGAGAAGCCCTGGACCCTCCCCAAACTCGCAAACAGCACTCCGGCATCCCACCGTGAATCTCTCAAGCAGCTGCCCTTTGTCCTGAAGTGGGTAATTTGCTTGAACCCAAACCCCAAACCCAAACCCCAAACCCTAAACCCTAAACCGGTAAATGTTGAAGGGTTCATCTGTTCTTGGTTCTTAATTGGATTTGGTAGGGAAACCTCACCTCCTGTTAGGAACTCTGAGCGCTACCTTGGAATCCTCGCGAGTCATGTATGTACCCTGGGACGTGGGGGACTCCACTTTAGGGAAGGTAGGGGCTATCTGGTGACCCTTTTCAATAATCTATGGTTCAGGGTTTAGGGCTTAGGGCTCAGAATCTATGTAAGAGGCCATAGCAAGGAGTACGTCAAGGGAATGCTTAGGTGCGCACCCTAAGGAGTGCCGATCCCTTTGCGAGGATCATGAGACTCTACCTGGAACCCCTACGGTCGCACCCTTGCATTTGGGGGCCCTTTTTAAAAGATCCTCTCAAGAGAAGATATACGTGCCATATTCGGAGTATTCTAAGGGAACCCCTGAGGGGTACATCCTAAACCCTATAAACCCTATAAACCCTATAAACCCTATAAACCCTATAAACCCTATAAACCCTATAAACCCTATAAACCCTATAAACCCTATAAACCCTATAAACCCTATAAACCCTATAAACCCTATAAACCCTATAAAACCTATAAACCCTATAAACCCTATAAACCCTATAAACCCTATAAACCCTATAAACCCTATAAACCCTATAAACCCTATAAACCCTATAAACCCTATAAACCCTATAAACCCTATAAACACTATAAACCCTATAAACCCTATAAACCCTATAAACCCTATAAACCCTATAAACCCTATAAACCCTATAAACCCTATAAACCCTATAAACCCTATAAACCCTATAAACCCTATAAACCCTATAAACCCTATAAACCCTATAAACCCTACAAACCCTATAAACCCTATAAACCCTATAAACCCCATAAACCCTATAAACCCTATAAACCCTAAACCCTTAGGGGCTTTAGTTTGTCTCTGTGAGAGGAAGGCCTCCCAGCCTGGCTACTTCAAAGCGGGCTCATCGACCGTTTCGTGGCCAGCCCGGCATTTTTTACAGGTTTAGGGTTTAGGGTTTAGGGTTTAGGGTTCAGGGTTTAGGGTTTAGGGTTTAGGGTTAAGGTTCAGGGTTCAGGGTTCAGGGTTCAGGGTTCAGGGTTTAGGGTTTAGAGTTTTGTGTTTAGGGTTTAGGGTTTAGGCTGTAGTGTGTGTGTGTGTGTGTAGGTAGGTCGGTAGGTAGGTAGGTAGGTAGGTTTTAAGAGGATTATATTTCGGAACGTTCTTGTTCGAGGGTTTTAAGGGGCCATCTTTGACGCCTGTGCCCAGAAGTCCGGGCCATTTTGTGGCTTGCCTGCGTTGGGAACTGGCCCACACAGTGGGCTAAACCCTAAACCCTAAACTAAACCCTAAACCCTAAACCCTAAACCCCAAACCCTAAACCCTAAACCCTAAACCCTTTATTGTTGAATGATGGACGGTTCCCGTAGAGCTCGACATCTCCTTGCTTCAAGGGTCTCTACTGTAAGTAAAGATAGGAGCTTCACAGGACCTGCTTCGGAACCTTTAGGGTTGTGGGTGAGGGCTTACAACAGCCTTGGGAAGGTGTAGAGGTGTAGAGGTGTAGAGGTGTAGAGGTGTAGAGGTGTAGAGGTGTAGAGGTGTAGAGGTGTAGAGGTGTAGAGGTGTAGAGGATTTCGGCTGCACGGTTGAGAGAAACAAGCGCGACAGGAGCTTCCTCTGCGAGGGCAAACGGGATCGCTCAACGTGAGATGCTGAATGCTTTGGAGGGGGTGGGGGGGGCAGGGGGTGCTGGTTTTGAGATGTTCAGGGTTTAGGGTTTAGCGTTTAGGGGTTTAGGGTTTCTGGTTTTTTGGCCTTTCCTAGGGGAGGTTTCATGGTCCATAGGCCCGCGGGTTTTAGAGGGCATCAAGGGCCCCTGCTCAGGGACCATGTGGTCAGTTCTCTAAATTAGGGTCCCTTTTGGGGTACTCTAAAGAAGTTAGGCCGCCTTATTATAAGCGATAATAAGCACCCATTTAAGGGCCTAAACCCTAAACCCTAAACCCTAAACCCTAAACCCTAAACCCTAAACCCTAAACCCTAAACCCTAAACCCTTGGAGCTTTGGGCAACTTGGACTTGCGCGGATGGATGTCGGGAGCTGGGATCGTTGAGGGCGCTCAAGAAATGCGCTTCAGGGTTTATGGGTTTCGGGTTGAGGGTATAGGTTTAGGGTTGAGGGTATAGGGTTTAGGGTTTAGGGTTTAGGAATCTCCTCCTCTACGCATCTATACAGCATGGGAGTATCTTATATGAGGTGGGCGGAGCTTCGGGTTCTTAGGGCTTAGGTTTTAGGTGTTTTGTCCTTTCTTATTGCGGTTGTAGGTGTTTCTTGCTGTGGCTCTTCACGGAAGAAGAAAGGCCATTTCGAACGACAAGCTCCTTGCAAAGGGTTGAGGTGCAGGCAACTTAAGTATAACTCACAGGCCAAATCGATGGCCAAAAGCCACGCAGTACTGAATGTTAGAGATACGTTGGAATGGCGAGGGCCTTGGTTCAGGGTGTGCAGGGCCCATGTTTTCATGGTGATTTCTGCGGGCTTATGGCTTTGTGCTTTGGGTTTAGGTTCACTGCGGCCGACCCTAAACCCAAGCCTTGAACCCTAAACCCTAAACCCTAAACCCTAAGCCCAAGATGACTCCGAGGTGCACGTTGCGGCTGCTATGCTGCTGCAGGGCCCTTAAGCCAGCTTCCAGCCGCCACTCCTGCCTAAAAGCAGGGAGTGTTGTTCATGAATAGGGTGAATTTCAGGGCCGCTGTCCAAAAATCCCCAAAGCAATGGAAGGAAGGGGACACATGGCCTAACCCAAAACCCCAAACCCCAAACCCCAAACCCCAAACCCCAAACCCCAAACCCTAAACCCTAAACCCTAAACCCAAACAGGGCCAGGAAGCCAATGCCTCAGGTGGCACTACCGCCTTCAGCACTGACCTGCCGAGTACTCTCTCCCTCGCCCTTCGGCTCTCTGGATGTTCTAAGGCTTAGGTCCTGTGCAATCCCTGCTATGGGGTTTAGGGTTTAGGGTTTCGGGTTTAGGGTTCAGGGTTTAGGGTTGACGGTTGAGGGTTTGGGGTTTAGGGGGATTAATATTGACTGCAATGTGAACAAATCAAAGCCTAAGCCAGAAGGTTTGGGTCCGACTACCTATTTTGAACCATGTGAACCCATCTTGCTTGAAGTTTGGGTGGTGGGTGGGGCCTTTTCGGGTTTAGGGTGGCCAGAAACCCAAACCCGAGGCCCCTCGGAGAGCTTCGATGCTGTTGCTTAGGAGCATGTCTTTCGGTGTACATCCCTAAGCCGTAAACCCTAAAGTCTGGGTTCCCTACTACCCCCTCTATCGCCCTCTCACTCAGCCTAATTAAGGCTGTTTAAGGAGGAACCTAGGGGGGTAGTATGGAGGGGGGGGGGGGTAGTAGGGAAACCCATGATAAAAGTGTGCCCCCCCCAAAGCCTGAACACACACGAACCACAGGGGGAGCTGCTGATACCCGCTCGAAGCAACCTCCAAATGGCATGAAGCTTTGCCTGGTAACTCTCTGTACCTACAGCGTTAGGGGTTTTACTTACCTACTCATTCGGGGGGGTTGTTGCTCTTCAACCGTAGGTAAAGAGATTCCCAGGTAAACTCCCAAAACCCTGAAGCTCCACCTAGTCCAGAAGCTTTGCGTAGAGTTGTCTTTGGGCCCCCCGAACCCCTAAGTAACCCGAAATCAGAGTCCTCAGGGCAGTAAATCGGCTCAGAAATCCGACTTGGGACAAGACTCAGACGAACCAAGGCTCCTTTCCTGAGAACCTGCCTGGACCTGATGCTGTACTTGGGCAGCAGCATGGGTTTAGGGTAGCCCCTTGAACACAAAAAAGGGCACCCTTTTATTTACGGGCTAGATCGGATTGGGAGTTCCGAGCACAGGGCTTGAACCTGAACCCTAAACAACAAATCCCCAAAAAGCCTAAACCTCCCTGGGTTAGCCGGGCGCGTCTAAGGCTTCAGGGTGCTGGGGGCCTGCGGAAGAGGCTTCAGGACTTCCAACCACGGGGGTTTAGGGTTTAGGGTTTAGGGTTTAGGGTTTAGGGTTTAGGGTTGTGATAGGCGTAGATGCTGTGAAGGTTAGGTTTTGGAACAAGCTCGAAAGCTTCGTGAGGTGCGAAGAGCAGCTTTGGCCCGATTGTGGAGGGCCATCTAACAACTTTCTCCCACCCCACGCCGTCCGAGGCGGCAAAGACACCCAAACCTATTCCTTTTAGGGTTTAGGCCTAAACGCAAGTCAACTGCAAACTTCCAGCGGTGAGGGGGGCTCAGGGAGGTCCAGGTCGGGGAGGGTGGGCGAACGCCCTGGGTCGGCTTGCGCCATCGAGTCCCCAACTGTAGGGGGGCGGCCTAGGCCTTGAGTTTAGGGTTTAGGGTTTAGGGTTTAGGGTTTAGGAGCTGGGGCCCTGAGCCCTACAACCCTTAGAAACGCCATGAGCCTCACACCCTAAACCTTAAACCCCGAAGCCCCTAAACCCCGGATCCCTAAACCCTAAACCCGTCAATCCGTTGTAAGCCCTAAACCGTAAACCCTAAACCCTAAACCCTAAACCCTAAACCCTCTCACCCTCTCAACCCTAAATCCCAAACCCTACCCCCTCAACCCCTCAACCCCTAAGTCCACGGGGTCCGTTCAGGCTGTCTGGGCTTAAGCCATGGGATTGCGACCATGTGGGGCGGGTGGTGTAGGCCTTGGGTTTAGGGTTTAGGTGCTAGGGTTTAAATTTGAGGGTTTAGAGTTTAGGACTTCTTTTTTTGGTGGAGTGCCGGGGCTGGGGGGACGGTTCAGGGGTTAGGGTGTGTGGTTTCGTGCCTAGCGTTTAGGAGTTGAGTGTTTTAGTGGCTTCGGGTCCCTTATAAGTTTCCTAGTTTGATTCGAGTATTGAAAATAGTTCCTTTATCGATTGTTGAAAATAGTCCTTTTCTGCAAATATAGCTTCTAGCTGGCGTCCCTTTTGGTGTGCTCTGTTATAGAATTGGGTTTAGGGTTTAGGGTTTAGGCTTAGGGTTTGCAGGGGTCTGCATTGTGGCTGGGTTCAGGGCTTCTAGGGTTTGAGTTCGTTTTTCTTCCACGTAGCTTATAGGGTGCCCAATCGGGCCGATGATTCAGCCCCCATGTGGCTTGCCAATGTGCTTCAGCTGTTCCTGGCGCTTGGTACGGTTTCTTGGGCAATCCACACTCCCAATGTCTTTATGTACGAAGATTGGTATTGGTCCGAGCTTGGGTACAACCGATCCGGCTATGATGCGCTCGTGGCGGTTAAGGGGCAGGCCGATCTTCCTATGAAGTGGGATCCGCAGAGCACTGCCCCGGAATTCTTAGGGTTCTTATTCTGGAATCTTCAGGTCCTGTACTCCTGCTTCCTCAACCTTGTCCTCCCAAGGTCTGAAACCATCGCGCTGGCGTCATCACCAGCTTGCGGCACTGCTCCGCGCATGATGCGAGTGCCCGAGAACATTTGCCAGGAACGCGCCGTTTGCAAAGGCGGCGCTTCAATGACAAAGGACTCCTGGGGTGTGGTTCAGAACCGGTCTCGCGCACTTTTTTCCCGCTTCAGACGCCGAATGTCCGTCATGGAGCATCTGCTCAGCAGCGTGAGAGCTGGTTCTGACACGCTGAGCATGCAAAGCACGATGAGCTCAATTCATGCTGCTGCGGCTCTGCTCACCACCCTTCCTTCAATGTTCCTCACATGCGTCGATGCGGACAGGCTTCTTTACGACAGAGCAGATATCTTTCGGAAGCAGAGCAAGGACTTGATGGAACAGACCTATTTTGCTTTCATGGTGGATTACACTGGCGGCCCACAGCCTTCTCATGTCATCTTCCATCCTGACGGGGGACATTGCGGAGGCCGCCACCAGCGTGCCCATGTAGTACGTTCCTTACTTGATGCGTGCCTCACCATGAAGGCGTGGACGTCATCGTCTGTGTCGCCGCCTTCAACTTGCCTTAGTGCCGTGGAGGTCGGAACGCGGGAAGGATTGACTGCGAGACACCTCTTGCACACGCTTCCTTGCTTACACCTGCTAAGCGTTGACAAGCTCGTGCTGCCAGAAGCCCGTGTCAATCTGCACATGTTTGGGAATCGGAGCACATTGTGGGAACTCACATCAGAGGCAGCTGCCGAGCACTTGCCACCACAGTCAGTGGATTTGGTGTTCATTGATGCCTTGCACACGTACGAGGCAGCATACCAAGACATTCTCTTGTGGGCCCCAAAGGTCGTGCCAGGGGGTATCGTTTCCGGCCATGACTATAGCCACTACTTTCCTGGCGTAATCCGGGCTGTGAATGAGTATGTCGCAAACCTGGGTGGTTCAGTGCTACATCTTGGCGTTGACTACGTCTGGTGGGTTCGCGTTTGAGGCACGCGTCGTACGCTTCGCTTTATACTTGTATCATAATGGTGCCAAAAGAGTAAGGCAGTGGCCTTGCCGGGGGTTGCGCCAGCTTTCACCTGTTTCAACTACCATCCAGGGGTCAGGGGTTGCGAGTCACACCCTAAGCCCTCGACCCTCAAACCCTCAACCAAACCCTACATATGGGCTGTGTGTGAGTGGCGGGGAATCGTAGGTAGAGGTGGCCGCAGAAGCCCCTAACGCCCCCCCCCCCCCCCTTAACCCCCCCCCTAACCCCCCTACCTGAACCCTGAACCCTCCCTAAAGGGATGGACATGACTGGTTGCTTCATGACAATCCCACAGAAACTCCCTTAACCCTGCGAAATGGTTCGGGTGTAGGGTTTCAGGGGTTGAGGGTTTCAGGGGTTGAGGGTTTTAGGGCTTTAGGGTTTTAGGGTTTTTGGGTTTTAGGGTTTTAGGGCTTTAGGGCTTTAGGGTTTTAGGGTTTTAGGGTTTCAGGGTTTCAGGGTTTTAGGGTTTTAGGGTTTATAGGGTGTCCCCTAAACCCTATAAGGGGCTTAGGGTGCCTCATTAAGGAGCTTAGGGTGGTGGGGGGTGGGGCTGCTCAAGGCATCACACAGCGGCTTTCGGGCTTAAGGTTCAGGATCCCTAAGGCACCAAAAAGCCCAAGGTAGGTATTATTTACAGACTTTAGACCCCAATGTAGGTATTATTTGCATACTTGGAGCCAAAGGGGGATTCCAGTTTAGGGTTGAGAGGTCAGGTCTAGAGCCTCATAAACCTTTGCGGCCACCGATTGTCGTTCTGGTACTCGAGCTTCCTTTTTTTGGTACCACGGACTTGGGGCTAAGCTTACATGGGTTTAGAGTTTTCAGTGTTCAGGTTGCAGCATGGGACTTGGGTTGAGGCGTGGCCTCACGGGTAAGGTAACCCGAAACCCTAGACCCTACAAAACCCTAAACGTGACTTTCTGGCGCAGACGCGGGATGGGGGTGACCAGGGTTACTGCTCGCGACTGATGTTCGATTGGGCGAGAGACCCGGCAGTGTACCCCTTGACACCCTGTGAGCCCGAATGAAGCCCTGAAACCCCCAACTCTAAGCCCAAAACTCCCTGAACTTCCTAAACCCCTAAACTCCCTGAACTTCCTAAACCCTAAGCCCTAAACTCCCTGAACTTCCTAAACCCTAAACTCCCTGAACTTCCTAAACACTCTATAAGCCCTAAACTCCCTGAACTTCCTAAACCCTAAACTCCCTGAACTTAACCCCACCTGAACTTGAGAAACCCCGAGCCGGACCGGTGCTGGGGGAGCCCTGGCCACCCCTTCCCCCCCCCTTCCCCAAAAGCCCGAAATCCTAAGCCCACAAAGGAGTTTGGGTGTTGGGTTTTGGGTTTAAACCCTAAACCCTGAACCCTGAACCTTGAACCCTAAACCCTAAACCCTGAACCTTGAACCCTAAACCCTACACCCTCATCCCAAGCCATAAGCCCCTCACATGCCTAGGGCCCGGAGACGGACACCGAGGCCGAGAAGATCAAGGCACTCCCTGGGACAAATGTGTGTACCTACACTACGCACTAATGAATGAATGACACACACACACTCAAGATCCAAATCCCAAAGCTCTTGCCTTGTACCCGAACCCCTAAGCCCTAAATGTCCCACCTCCTAAACGCCAAGCGCGCTGGTGTTTATGTGCTTTTCGGGTCTCGGTCTGTCAAACATGGTTTGTTTTTGCGAGTCGAAAGGGCCTGCCTTGCAAAAGATCTTGCTTGTGGCATGTAGATTCCAGGGTTTAGGGTTTAGGGTTTGGGGTTTGGGGTTTGGGGTTTTGAGCTGTGTCCGCTGCGAGTGCGCTTCGACCCCTCCTTGGAAGTGGTTGGGGGTTGGCGCATGAGCTGCAATGCCCTGAAAGCCTAAGAGTCTACATCCCCCTTGGGAATGATTTTTTTGTTTATCTGAAACCCAAGGTGATATTGGCTACACCCTGAATGACGCCACCCTAAACTCTCAACCCTAAACCGGAACCGCAACACTGGCTCTGCAGCCATTTTGGAAAGTACAGAGCTTGAGCGAACCTGGACTCTTATTGAGTATCCTTTTTCTGGGGAAGTTTTATGATTGGAGTTTAGTGTTTACTTAGTTAGGGATTGGGGTCCCCAATAGTGCGGAATCCCCCTTCGGGGCCAGGGTTTAGGGCGTACGAAGCCCTAAACCCCATGTTCCGACCCAAGGAGGCTTCCCCTGTGCGATGATTGACACATGCCCGCTGGTGGAGTGTCCAGATCTCCCAGTTGGGCACTGTTGTTTTTTTTCGGGAGGGGGGTGGGGGGGGAGGGGGGGGTGGTCCTAGGTTCCTTCCAAAGCCACTGAACCTAAACCAGTCCGAAACCCTAAACTCTTAACCCTTACATCCTTACACCCTAAACCCTAAACCCCAAACCCTAAGCCCTCAACCCTAAATCCCAGCCCTTTTTCTTCCTAGGTTGCCTTGGGATCCCAGGTATGCGTCCTCCCTTGGCCGAGCAAAGGTGAAGGCCAGGCAAGGCAGCGAACGCGCTCCGGCCTTTCCCATGCACCTCCAGATGTGTTTAGGGTTTAGGGCTTAGGGGTTTTACGGGTTTAGTGGATTGGGGGTTTAGGAGTTTTTAGGGGTTTGGGGTTTAGGGCTTCGGGTTTCGGGTTTCGGGTTTAGAGGGGTCTTGAACTGGGGGGCGGGAGGGGGCCTCCTGCCAAGCGCGTGTGCTTCCCGCCTCTAAAAGGTATGCCGTCGCACTGGAGATGTTTCTACAGATGCTGGCGATCAAGCCGCACGAGGAGATGTACGTAGGGATATTTATCCCTAAACCCTTCGCCCTACCCTAAACCCTAAACCCTACACCCTAAAGCCTATACTTTTGCCAGGAGCCCCTTAGTGTTGCATGGGGGGCTACAGGAGTCCACTGAATTGAGGGGTTTAAGGTTTAAGGGTTCAAGGGGTAAATTTTAAAGGGGGCTTGGGGTTTTAGGGTTTTGGGTTTTGGGTTTTGGCTTTGGGGTTTTAAGCTTTCAAGGGCTCAAGGGTTAAGGGGGTTAAGGCTTCAAGTCTTCAAGGGCTTAGGGGCCTTCTGCCCCAAAGCTCCTGCCCAAAAAGCGTTTGAGGGGTCAGCCGTAAGTTCTATAGACCTCATCTCAAACCCTACCCCCCCGCCGAGCGTTAAGCATCAAATCCCTAGCCCCTTGACAGGACAAAACTCTCCCCAATGGACCACGGTTAGTTCGGCCACGCCTAAAGTTAATTTCTACCAAGGACTCTTTTGTGACCCTAAACCCTAGACCCTAAACCTCAAACCCTACAGCAAGGACTTCATCATCATCTAATAGTCAGAATGATTGGCCCGCATGGGGGGTGAGGGGGGGGGGGGGGGTCCCTAAACCCTAAACCCTAAACCCTAAACCCTAAACCCATAAACAGTCCTTAAACCCGAAACCCTCCATCCTTTAAGCCCTAAACCCTAAAGCCTTAACCCTAACCAGCCTTTCGTTCTGGCAGGAGTTAAGGCTTTGGATTTGGGACACTGAGGGTCTTCAGGTAATGTAGGGTACATCTCCCTAAGCCCTAAACCCCAAACACCCTTCCCTTCTTGGGGCAGTTACCTGGGCCCTTAATTTGGTCCCTAGCCTCCTTTAAAGAGTTCTGATGTATGGGCCCTTAATTTGTATAGGGTTGTGGTATATTATGCAAGGGGTATTCTTGTAAGGGCCCATCCTAAGGGACCATGTATCTACTCTCAGATCCTTGACCCCTAAACCCAAATCTAAACCCCAAAAGGGTAGTAGGGAAGCCCATGTCTGCCCGAAGCCCTAAACCCCAAAAACCCTTCCCCGGAGGAGATGCAACCCTCAAACCCTATACCCTGAACCCTAAAGCCCCTTAAAACCTGAAACCTGTAAGCCCTAAACTCACCTAAACCCCATTTCCCCGGAGGAGATGCCCCTAAACCCCTAAACCCCTAAACCCCTAAACCCCTAAACCCCTAAACCCCTAAACCCCTAAACCCCTAAACCCCTAAACCCCTAAACCCCTAAACCCCTAAACCCCTAAACCCCTAAACCCCTAAACCCCTAAACACCTAAACCCCCCTAACCCCTAACCCCTAAACCCCTAACCCCTAACCCCTGAACCCCTAAACCCCTAAACCCCTAAACCCCTAAACCCCTAAACCCCTACAAACCCGAAGCTCCCTTCCTACCGGAGGAGATGCAACCCTAAACCCCTAAACCCTAAACCCTAAACCCCTAAACCCTAAACCCTAAACCCCTAAACCCCTAAACCCCTACAACCTAAACCCCTAACCCTTCCCTGGAGGAGATGCTAGAAGCGGGGCTACTCACCCTCTTCGTGGAAAGCCTCGGAAGGGCTCTCTTCGTCTCGCACGAGTGGCTGGGGAAGAGTCATCCCGATCCTTTGACACTGTTGAGTTTAGGGTTTAGGGTTTAGGGTTTAGGGTTTAGGGTTTAGGGTTTAGGGTTTAGGGTTTAGGGTTTAGGGTTTAGGGTTTAGGGTTTAGGGTTTAGGGTTTAGGGTTTAGGGTTTAGGGCCCTACACCCTAAGCCTAGACTCTGCATCCTAAACCCTAAGCCCTAAATCCTAAACCCTCTTTTACTATGTATATTTAAACCCTAATGACCTTCGTGGGCATGTGGTTTTTTTCTGGGCCCTAAACCCTGACCCCCTTCGTGGGCAAATGGTTTTTTTCCTGGGCCGTGCCTCCAAAAACACCCCAAACAAGGGGGACCCCAGGATCGGCCCGGGTCCCAGTTCAAAATGCGATTTTTTAGTACTGAAATCGACGCTTCTGGGTGGGCTCTCGTTTTCTGGATTTTTGATCAAAACCGAGCCTTTGGGCCCTAAACCCTGACCTGCTTCGTGGGCAAATGGTTTTTTTCCACCCGGGGGGGCCCTAAACCCTGACCCCTTCGTGGGCAAACGGTTTTTTTCCACCCGGGGGGGGCCTAAACCCTGACCCCCTTCGTGGGCAAATGGTTTTTTTCCACCCGGGGAGGCCACAAAACCCTGACCCCCTTCGTGGGCAAATGGTTTGTTTCCACCCGGGGGGGCCCTAAACCCTGACCCCCTTCGTGGGCAAATGGTTTTTTTCCACCCGCGGGGGCCCTAAACCCTGACCCCCTTCGTGGGCAAATGGTTTTTTTCCACCCGGGGGGGCCCTATACCCTGACCCCCTTCGTGGGCAAATGGTTTTTTTCCACCCGGGGGGGCCCTAAACCCTGACCCCCTTCGTGGGCAAATGGTTTTTTGCCACCCGGGGGGGCCCTAAACCCTGACCCCCTTCGTGGGCAAATGGTTTTTTTCCACCCGGGGGGGCCCTAAACCCTGACCCCCTTCGTCGGCAAACGGTTTTTTTCCACCTGGGGGGGGGGGGGGGGGGGCCGAAACCCCCCTTCATCGGCATATTGTCTGGTGGGCCTCTTGGGCATAGGGTTTAAAGGCACGGTTTGGGGCATAGGGTTTAGAGCCCTGAGGGTCCCCCACCCCCCCCCACTCCCCCCACCCTCCCCCGCCACAGTAGGTTGAGAGTTAGATTTCGGGTTTTGAGCCAACTGGACCTTAAGCTTGAAGCCTACTGGGAATGTATTGAGTGATTTTTGTATTTTCTCAATGTTATGGGTTTCTTGGGTGGGTGGGGTTTTATTCCAACACTTGACAAGCTGCTTGACTAGTAAATGCTCGGACTTGAGATGCTGAATCCTAACCCTAAACCCTAAATCCTAAACCCCAAACCCCTAAGCCCTAAATCCTAAATCCTAACCCTAAACCCTAAATCCTCAATCCTAAACCCCAAAAAAACCCCAGAGCCCTAGAGACGCTCAGTGAGGACCCCGATTCTCGGCAGCTGAAAGTACTCCAGGATGCCCTCAAGAACCTTGGCTTTCTTCTGGCTGGCTCTTTTAGGGTTTAGGGTTTAGGGTTTAGGGTTTAGGGTTTAGGGTTTAGGGTTTAGAGGGTTTCTACCATGAGAAGCCTAGAAGTTTTTAACTTTTAGGGGGGTTCAGAAGTCAGCCAAGGAACATCATGTCAGGTCGCAGCCGCGTGGGGGCCTGAGGGTTTTAGGGTTTTGGGTTTTTTGGGGTTTAGGGTTTAGGGTTTAGGGTTTAAGGTTTAGGGTTTAGGGCTTAGGCCGAAATTCTCTAGGGGCAGTTCTCCAAATTTAGGGGATGTAGAGCTGCGAGATGACGGAGCCAGTCAGGTTCTTCATTTTGACGGTCGTGCTTGTGTGTTTGAACCTCATACCCTAAAGCCGAAACCCTAAACACCAAACCCTAAACCCTAAACCCTAAACCCTAAACCCTAAACCCTAAACCCTAAACCCCTGCACCCTGCAGCTGGACAGGTGGGTCTGCCCATTGTAACCGAGATGTACTACGGGCGCTTGCCCTGCCCAACAGCAGCGGACCTCAAGTCCAAGCCCCTCTTCATCTGGTACGACTACTTATGCGTGCCTCAGGACTCGGACAGCCCAAGTCTGTAGTATTCAGACATCGCGGTTTAGGGTTAAGGGAGAATTTCAATCCCTGTTCTTCCTGGTCCTGCTTCGGTATGTGGCGATGGCTGTAGAAAGGCAGCAGTTAACATTCCTGGCTCCTTCTAACAGAGGCCAGCCGTCAAAGAAATAGATGGTTAAGACTATAGAGTCTAGAGTGCCTGGATCCCTCTTCAAACCCAAAGTCCTTTGCACTTAGCAGTTTCGCCCCCGCTCCCTGGCCCCCCCACTTCCGCCCCCGACCCATTAAATTAATCACAAGGGTTTAGGGTTTAGGGTCTAGGGTCTAGGGCAAGTCTACACTATTCATTTTGTTTCTGCAGCTCCGACCAAGAAGAGGTGTTGAGGTTGGGTTGAGTGTCCCAAAGCCACAAACCGAACCGCAAACCCGAATGGTTGCTGTGCGCAGGGCAGCAGCCCAGATGCGATCAAGAATCGGCAGCACGCCATCAACAGTATTCCGTCTTACGTTGCCAGGACTCTCGGACTGAAAGTTTAGGGTTTAGGGCTTGTCCACACCCAGGATTTCCGTGAGCACACCACATCCTTGCGATCAACGGTGGCATTTGAAAAGAGGTCCAGAAGAGTGCAGGGAGGCCGTTAAGATTCACAAATGGCCTTCATGAAGGCTTGAAACCTTCAAGGCCGTAGCCTAATGCTCTCAAACCTGAACCTCCGGCACATAATAAGTTTATAAAATCTTCATACTATACAGACTATACAATCATCGTACAACAAAACGACAGTGCAAAAACACAACAATACAAAAAACAACATAATCTAGCAGTACAATTACAACAAATCATAATCTTATAAAACTAAAATAATGTAAAGATGCAAAAATGTAATGAAGAATATGATATTGATCTAAAAGTATATCTATATATAGTAATTTAATACGAATATAGTACTATATGAATATTTTATAAGCTCATTATCACATCATATCAGAATCAACATTAATGTAAGCCAATGGTATATTAATATATTAATCTAATTGTTTAATAATATAATAGAATAGTATAAGAGTAGAACAGTATAGTGACACAACAATACAATATTTTCATAATCTATTAATACAAGAGTACACTAGTATAACACAGAATAAAGTAAGAATGCAAGAATATAGAATTATACTAATGTAAGAAAACTATAATTATTACAATGAAATAATATCTTAGCAATGTATCAATATAAGAATATAGACATATCCAATTATACAAATAAA